ACCGTCACTGTTCCATCTCGGCCTCACTTTCTGAGGGCGATAAGAGAGGCCTTCCCACAAAGGGGTCATGAGGAGACAACACCCCATGCTCCCCTCAGAGGCTGACACACTACCTGCCCCAGTGGCTCTTGGATAGGAAACAGCTTCCCACTGGTGCCATGTTTTTATTCATCATATTCTCTTGAGCCTTGGTGTCTGGCATTCGTCTCTTCCTCAGTCTCTCTGTTGTCACCGTTTGCTTCCTGGACTATTTTCTCCACAGTGACAAGGAGCTTCCCTGATAGTACCAGACATGCCTCAGCTGTCCCACTGGGAAGTGTGGTTTGTCTGTCTCTACCTGCAGCAGCCATCGCTGCCCCGAGGGTAACATCCCAGGTCTTCATCCGCCCCTTGCAAGGCCCGTTACTGCAGCCCCAAGGCCAGACAGCTCTCATTCTTCCAGCATGCCCTCTGCTCCTGGTCTTTGCACATACTCTCCCCTCTGCCCAGAACATTCTTATACCCACTTTCCCCTGCTTTTCTTTACATTTTTTTAAACATTTATTTATTTTTGAGAGAGAGAGAGAGAGACAGGGCCTGAGTGGAGAGGTGCAGAGAGAGGGAGACACAGAATCTGAAGCAGGCTCCAGGCTCTGAGCTGTCAGCACAGAGCCCAGTGTGAGACTCTAACTCATGAACCATGAGGTCATGACCTAGCTGAAGTTGGATGCTTAACCAAATGAGCCACCCTTACTTTTCCCGCTTTTAACTCCTTTTCATTCTTTGAGACCCTGCTTAAATGTCATTTTGGTACAGCGACGATGTTCCTTCCCAGACCTTGTCAAAGTCTCTTGCCATCACCCCCAGCCTAGGACACTGTCACATGTAGATATTTTTACCTGTGTCTGGGTGAGGTGAGGGGCTGGGGTTTCCGTGTTCACTGGTGGTGGGGTTCCCCCACCTTCGCCGTGCTGGGGCCATGGCTGGGCAGGTAGGGCTGCCTTGCTCCTCTGTAGTCCCTATGATGACAAGCACTGGGTCTGTCACTTGTGTCACTCATGTATCACCAGGTCTTTCACCACCAACACTGTTGTTGTGGCAGAGAAAGGCTCATTAAATACAAGGACTGACAGTGATGGGAAGTCATGAACAGTTTCCACCACTCAATGTTGCTAAATGCCTTAGTTCTCTTGAGGGCTGTTTCTGAAGACTAATATGATATGATTCCTCCTGCTTCCGGGGCACTCAGGGAGGGTAGATGATACTGTTACCCCATCTTCCTAGGGGGCAGCCAGCCTGGCATGGGGCAGCAGTGGCTCAAGGATAGGCGATATCTGGGGGCGGGGGGGGCGGTGGTGCTGACAAGGGAGGTCCTGATGAAAGAGAATGGGAAAGGGGAGCCGAAATGTTCTGGAACTCAGGGAACTCCCAGGGTGCCTCCTGGGAGTCAGCAAGGACTTTGTGAACAGATGTTGTCCCAGTGCCATGCTGAGGGCTCATGGACATGAGAGGAAGGTGAGGTCTCGGGGTCATAGCCCTTCATTTGCCCTTGTCGTTCCCATGTTTGATTAACGCAGCTGCAAAAGGGCTCTTCCGTGGGTCCCGGCTGTTCCTTCCAGGAACCCTGTGCCACTTGTTACCCAGTGTCCTCTCTCAGGTACCTGGCCACATACCATGGTGAGCCAAGTTGATGGCTGTTTGCCCAGCCAAGGAGTGCACCCTCTGATAGCAAGGATGTGTGTTATGTCAGCGGCGAGTGTGCTGCCCGATGAGGGCCTACAGGCATTTTCGGGAAGGAGCAGCTACGTGTGTCTGCACTCCCGCTGTCACTCTCTCGCTTTGGTGGTTCTGCTTGACTTGAATATGTGTAAATATTATTTGTTCATCATTAGGACAACCTCATGTGCCACAGAGTTGCAGGCAGGCCTGGTGAGGCTGAGTCCGCATCCCGGTCAGGAGGTAGTTTTGGAGGTGGCCACCTCCCCCACGGTAACAACAAAGAGAAGCCACCCAGTGGTTGAGTCACACAAAGAAATGTCCGATTCCACAAAGTGAGGCTCTCATGGAAGGAGACAAAATTGTTTAGTGTGTTAGGCACAAGAGTGTGTGGCTCTCCAGCGTTTGCGTGTCCATTACCACACCTGTCCAGATAGCCACTGCTAATCAGGGACCAGCGGCACTGCTCATGGAAGGAAATGTGGCGGTGGAGGGCATGCAGGCTGAAGTCAAACCAGCGCATCGTGCATCTTTCCTACTCTGTCTGCCCGGTGTCCTAGGGATGGGGAGTAGACACGGGCTTCGGCAGATGGCAGCCCACTGCGCCATCTCCCTGTCAGTGATAAAGCCACGCGGAGGCACCCTAGCCAGTTGTCGCCATATGCTCACCAATTAAAAGTTAAATGTGTGCCACATGCTAGACAGTTGGAAATACATTTTCATTTTGATGTGGCTATTCTGGAGTAAATGTGTGCAAGGACATATGCCTTCTGTCAACCAAAGGATGACAGGGCTACGGGTAACACTGTGCTTCTGCCGTGCTTGTAGATGAAGGGGTGTATCTCCTTGCTAAAAACTTTATTATCTGATGAAAAAGAGGTTGCCATAAAAATTCCTTGGGTACCAAGGGGGATTTTTTCTTAAGGACATATTCACTCTTTCCCCGTACTCAGCTCAGTCTTTGCTTTAAGGAAAAGTGTCCGACATGCCTATTCTTAGGCATGTGGGGTCAGGGGCATATGTCCCTTGGCTTTCTCCCGCTATTGCCAGGCGGCACATCTCTGCTTGGAAATCTTGTCCTGGTGTCCATATCACCAGATCTCCTAACCATCCTTCTTGGGGACAGCCAGCAGGGCAGCCAGCAGACAGCAGAGGGGCTTCGCCACCCTGGCCTGGCTTCCTTCAGCCTCCCAGGGAAGCAGGCTCCTGTACTAGGCTAGAAGATACGTGGCTGGTCGTGAGGCCACGTGCAGGTAGAAGGGCGAGGCTCTATGACCTCTACACCCAATTCCTACCCGAAGGGCCCTGGAGAGGTTCTCATGAAGGGGTACTGCTTCCCTTTGGAGTTACCCAGGGACAGGAGGAAAAGCTGGAGTTGCAACTTCAATTCCCTCATTCTCAGAAGAAGGCGGCCTGAGAGCAGCTGAGGGGTGAGGCTACTGGACTCAGTCGGAACTGACAGAATGGCTACTGTCTGGGAGCTGAGGACAACAGCTGGGCCCCCCTGCCCAGTAAGGCCTGAGCTTTCCTCTCCCATAGTAACTGCCCTGCCTGGCCTCCTGGAGGGCCTGTTCTGCAGGTCATTGCCAGCCAGTCCCCACTCACCTGAGCCAGCAAGGTGCTTCCACAGAGGGGGCTCCCTGATCAGCTTGTTCTTATGGGGCCTCTCACAGGGCCTGCCCCAGGCAGATCCTACTGAATTTCTGTATTGCTTTGAGTAGCATTTGCCTGGGGCCTCAGGACACACTGCTGGGGCACACTGCCGGGATCCCAGCAATGCGGCTCTGCCCCTCCCTGAGGATCATACTCTCAGGACTTGACCTGTCCTCCTCTGGCCGTCACACGTGACAGTTGGCTCAGAATTTTTTCTTTTCTCGGGGAGCCTGGTTGACTCAGTTGGTTAAGCATCCGATTTTAGCTCAGGTCATGAACTCACGGTTCATGGCTTCGAGCCCCACATTGGGCTCTGTGCTGACAGCTCAGAGCCTGAAGCCTGTTTCAGAGTCTGTGTCTCCCTCCCTCTGTCTCCTCTTCCCCCACTCATGCTCTGTTTCTCTCTGTCTCAAAAATAAGCATAAAAAAAAATAAAAAATAAAAGAAGTTTTCTCAATCACTTGCTACCCATACACTGTGCACAGCTGAGAGATTTGTTCTATAAAACGACACAAAGCCATAGTGTGCCATTTTCCTGTTCCCTCGAGGATGTCACATAGGGGAGCGGGAACATTTTACCATGCTACAAGCACCCAATTTCCAGTTTTGATAGGTTTTCAAATAGTTCTGTGTGCAGGAGTGATTCTCCTGAACAACTTTCAGAATTATGGACTAACTTCAAATTATGAGCAAATCTAATTCCAGCAAAGGGGGGCAGTCCTCATAGGTTTGGCTACCGATAAAACATCAGGCTGCTACCGCTGTGTGGTAAATTACCGCAAACACAGCGATTCAAACTAGAGCCATTTATTATCTCCCAGTTTCCACAGGTCAGAAGGCCGGCATGGCTCAACCGTGTTCTCAGCTTTGGGTATCACGAGGCCACAGTCAAGGCTGTAGCTGGCCTGTCTCTTACTGGGGAGCGCTGGGAAGAATCAACCTCCAGGTTCATTTCTGTCATTGGCAGACATCAGTTTCTTATGCTCACATTCCCCAAGTCCCTGTTCTTTATTTCATGTTGACCAGGAGTTGCTCTCAGGTTTTAGGGACCACTTGCGTTCCTTGTCCATCACATGGCCCCTCCATCTTTAAAGCCACATGCTTCCTTTTTAGTTTTTTAAGGTTTATTTATTTGTGAGAAAGAGATTGTGAGCAAGGGAGAGATGGAGAGAGAGGGAGACACAGAATCTGAAGCAGGCTCCAGGCTCTGAGCTGTCAGCAAAGAACCCAGCGTGGGGCTCGAACCCATGAACTGCAATATCATGACCTGAACGAAAGTCAGACACTGAACCAACAGAGCCACCCAAGCATCCCTTAAGCCACACACTTCCAATCTCTCTTTATTTGTTGCCAGTCAGAAAACACCCTACTTTCAAAGTCTCACCAGATTGAATCAGGGCCCCTTTGGAACCTCTGTATCTTAAAGTCACGTGACTTGAGACTGCACCATCAGTTACACAGTCACTTCCCTGCAGCGTTAGTGTTTAGTGTTTAACTGAATGGCCAGAGGATGGGAATCTTGGGTGTCACCTTTAGAATTTTGCCCACAACAGGCAGCCAAGAGAAATCACCCTCAGGTCTACTTCACACCTCACTTGACATTCCCAAGGAATTCCTGTGGTGATTATAATCTCTGTTGTTGTCTCCACCAGTGAGTGCTGCTGGCAGTCCGGAGCCTGGACCGGAGGTGGAGGTGGGCCAGGGTGCGGATGAGGCCCGCCCTGAAGTAGCCTCTGCCTGCGCCGGAGCAGAGAGCGAAGTGGAGCGAGCACTGGAGCAAGAGCCAGAAGAGCGGGCCTCCCTCAGTGAGAAAGAGAGGCAGAGCGAGGAGGTGAACGAGAAGGATAACTGCTCCGCCTCCAGCATCTCGTCCTCCAGCAGCACATTAGAGAGGGAGGAGAAGGAAGACAAGCTCTCCAGGGACAGGGGACCTGGTAACTCAGCCCCTTTACTCAGTAAATACGTCCCGGGGACCCCTGGGGTGCGGTACCTGGTCTGCTGGCCACTGAGGTAACCCACTGGCTCAGCTCAGTCACCAGCCACGCCACCTGGTGCCTGGAGGTGAAGGCTGTGGCCACGCTGTCGGCAGCCCACAGCTTCCTGCCCCTTGGGGAGGCGGCCCCTACACTCGCTGCCATGCTGTCACACCATCACTTCCGCAGGTGGAAAAAGGGCTTGATAGTGAGGGCAGCAAAGGACTTTTCCTGAGGAATAAGCCCCAAAAGAGAAATTCCTCATTTCCTTCTAATTGCTTGTTAATAGTAAACGTAGCTCTTTTTCTGATTTAAATGGGGACATATGTTGTGTTGCCATCTGCTCCCTTGAAAGTTTCTTCGGTGAAGTGTGCAAAAACCATTATAATGGGTGTTTCAGACCAGAGGAAATTTGTTAAAATGAACTGAATGAGTACTTGCAAAAAGTGGCGGTTCACAATGTGCTGAGGTCAATTGGAGGTGCTCTAATGGAATATATATAATTTAAGTAACTTTCTACAATATACGCAGGGCCACTCTTTTCCTTGGTATAAAGTATATGCTTTTCTTTATGGAATTTGTTCTTCTTGGTTTTATAGCTGATATTCAGTTCATCTATGTAATGGTAACTTCATGGTTAAGGGCCAAAGGGAACATTGGTCCTCACTGGGCACTTAGGGAGGGTGCCACAGAGGGTTATCAGAATTGTAAAAGATTCATATAATCATTTGAGTTCTGGTTCAGATGCAACACCATTGAGTTGGTTTTCCTGCCCATGACTTGTGTGCTATTCAGATGATAGGGGCACCCCTCTCTCACCTAACACTTCTCATCAGCGGAGGCATGTTCTACTAGCCAGCCTTCAGTAAGCTACCCAGTGACACACACTCAGGGAGCCTATGCCTTGGGCCCAAAGTGCAGCATGAAGGCTCCGCAGGGGTCTCCCAACTGGTGACATGACCCATGCATGGTTTGTTAGTTCCCAGATGAAGAATACATGGGCTCTGAAGCATGGGTATGTGAATATAAATGGAATGAATGAATGAATGAATGAATGAATGAGGCCATAATGTCTGCCACAAGAACTATCAATCAATGGCTTAGTCTTAGTTAATATTTGAGTTTTCACCACCTGTTTACTAAATTTTATTCTTGATGTTGCTAGTCCCTATGATGCACTGAAAATGGGACTTGAAGACTTCATTTGTTTATATCTTAGTAATTATTGCATTGAAAATCTGTGTCTGAAGATGTATTGCTGGAAAGTATTACATATATTGATATTTACTTAATTTATTTCCAAGTCAGATTCCAGTTAGTCTCCCAAATTCTACTTGTCAGTGTTCTCATTTAATGTTATTAGAGTCACAGTACAGTTGGGTATGTTGTCTTGATCAGTTTGGCCTTAAATCATATTTAAGTCATTATAAATAGCTCTAGGAATTATTCGTCGCCACTAGGTTTAGCAAGCCTAAAACATATCAACAAGTTGGATTCGTGAAAAGAAGCCAAGGAATGAGACTTTTTTGGATCAGATGGTCCAGTATTTTTCCAAATAAGGGCAACTTTCCAAAAATGGAGACTCTACTCCCAGTGAAGAACCACTGACTTTCTCCCAAAGCCAGTATCCAAGTGTATCGACTCAGGAATTAGGGCTTTGCAGTGGTTTTTTTCTGCTTTGGTCTGGTGCTATTAAGAGACGTGATCGTGTTTATTTGTTGTAACTTTAGCTCCTAGAAAATCCCAGTGCTCACAGGCACAGTGAGCTGCTGTGGAGTCAGGGCAGCTCTGTCATCATAGCTCTTGCCTTTCAGGGTGTTCTCAAATCACAAAGGCAAGCGTAGTGATTCTCAACCTGATTTCTTTTGTACTCATTTAAATTCAAGTTAGTTAACACACAGTGTAGTCTTGGCTTTAGGAGTAGAACCCAGTGATTCATCTGTTACATATGACACCCAGTGCTCATCCCAAAAAGTGCCCTCCTTAATGCCTGTCACCCAATTAACCCATCCCCCCTCCCACCAGCCCTCCATCAACCCTTAGTTCTCTGTATTTAATAAGATAAAAACAGAGAGGGAGGCAAAATGTAAGGGACTCATTCTTATTTCTTTTTTCTTTTTAAATATAATTTATTGTCAAATTGGCTAACATACAGTTTGTAAAGTGTGCTCTTGGTTTTTGGGGTAGATTTCCGTGGTTTATTGCTTACATACAACATCCAGGGCTCATCCCAACAAGTGCCCTCCTCAGTGCCCAGACTCAATCTTAGTTCTGACGGTAGTATCCATTACTCAGAAATGAGTTTGTAGGGCTTGAAAGGGTCTCCAACTTACTCTGGTTGTGTGGCTTTCTTTTTGTTTCCCATGTTCCACTCCGTAGCATCAATCTGAGGCTTTATGGTAGCACTCATTGCAGTTTGCAGTAATGACTTGTAGAACTGTCCTTTACCTCCACTCGAATGTAAGCTTTGTGAAGACAGGATGTCTGTCTTGTTCATCATGAGTCCTCACTTCCTAGCTGTAGACCTAAGAACATGGTAGAGGCTCACAAAACCGTTGATGAGTAATTGAATGAAGAGGCATCTGGCTAAGATACGGCAGCTCTATTGTTCCCAGTTCCTCCCTCTTACAACTGAAATATCAACACCCTGGACATAACAGAACAATCAATCATAGGAGGACTCTGAAAAGTGGAAAGAAGGCAGACTGTCTAAGGACCTTTGGACTTGAATGACGTGGCAGTGAAGCTCTAATTAAATTCTGTTCCCATAGCCAATGAATTGGGGAAAGGATTGCCTAACAGAAAAGTTTTTGGCTATTAATACATTCCCTACCCTAGACAAGCACTAATTGAAAATCTGCTGCTGTCCTGCCCCTGCCACACCCAGTAGCTTTAGTGGGACCAAAGAGGAGGTGATCTTCTATAACTTCCACCCTAAGGGAACAAGGGTGACACTGCTCCCATCCCCCCCCCCCCCCCCCCCCCCCCCCCCCCCCCCCCCCCCCCCAGCCAATTCTCTATCCCCTGCCCAATAGAAGCAGATAGTGTTCTCTCATTTCCTTGCGCTGGAGTAGTTCTTCTAATGGGGAGCTGATAGTCTATCCCCTACGGGCAAAAAAGCAAGTGGCATCCCAGTTCCCCTATTGGGGAAGTGTCAGTGAGGTCTTGTAGAGATCTGAGCCTTCACCCAGCAGGAGACAGGCTTAAGGAGGCAGTGGAAGAAGACTAATCCACATTCCAGTTCCCCTGCCCTCCTTCTCTGACACCAGCTGGGCCCAGCAGGGGGCTCAGCCTCCATCTCCACCCAACATAAGAAGGTAGAATGATGTAGTTGGAGGTGGAACTAGTCTGCAGTCTAATCTCCCCAACCCAGAATCAGTAGGGACCAGTGGGAAGCTGAGCCTTCACCTCCACTTGGAGGCAAAGGGAGTAAGTATTCCACTTTCACTGGAAGGATGCCTATGGGGTCAAGAGGCTGCTGAACCCCCACCCTGTCAATCTGCAGTGAAGCACTGTGAATCAACCCTCTTGCTAGAGTGGTGACAATCAGACCCAGTAGGGAGCTAAACATCTCCCCTCATGAAGACTTGTACAGGTCACCTAAAAAAAGGTGACTGCCTGCTGAAAGAGAAGATTAAACATGATCCAAACTCTAGCAAATAATACCCGAAATATCCAGAATACACTCTAAAATTGCTCATCATATCAAGAATTAGGGCATTCACAACTTGGATGGGAAAAGACAAGTAACAAATGCCAACACTGAGATGAGCCAAATGTTGGAATTATCTGACAAGGATTTTTACAACAGCCATCATGCTAATGTTTCAGTGAACATTTACAAACATTCAGGAAATACGTGAAAGAAATGAAATATCATAGCAGAGAAATAGAAGATACAAAAATGAACCAGAGGGAAATTATAGAACTGAAAAACTACAATGACCAAAATAAAATAGTTGTATAGTAGATTGAAGACCACAAAGGCAATAACATATGCAGTTGAAAACAGAGGAGTAGAAATTACCAAACCTGAATAACGGAGGAGAAAACAGACTGAAAAAATGAACAGAGCCTCAGGTACTTGTGAGACTATATCAGGAGAACTAACATTCATTTCTTCAGTCTGAGAAGGAAACGAGAGAGTGTGCAATGCTGAAAAAAATGCTTGAAGAAATAATGACTGAAAATTTCCCAAATTTGGGGAAAGGTAAACCCACAGATTTAAGAAGCTAAGCAAATACTAATGGGGATAAATCCAAAGAAATTTATAGCAAGACAAATGATAAACCAAGTTCTGAAAACTAAAGACCAAAAATAAAATGTCTTGAAAGGGAGTAGACAGAAACCATGTGTTACCTAGGGAGGAACACCAATTCACATGGCAAGCCAGTCCCTCATCTGAAACATGGAGGCAAACAGGAAGCAGCACAGCATTTGTCAAATCTTCCAAGACTAGAATTATCAACCCTAAATTCCATATCCGGTTAAAGTAGCCTTTACAAATGAAGAGAAAATAAAGACACTCTCGGTTAAAGAAAAGCTAAGAGAGTTTAAAGAAAAAGTAAGAGATAAAGTAAGACCTACTCTTAAGGACTGGCTAGAGAATGTTCTCTGAATAGAAAGGAAATGATGAGAGAAGGCTAGAAATTTTAGAAAGAAAAAGAACAGTGGAATGGATAAAAGTAGTCAATAGAAAAGACTGTCTTTTGCCTCATAAGTTTCTTAAATCTAGTATATGATGGTAGATGCAAAACCTATAACATGTGATGTAGTGCTCAATGTACGTAGAGGAAATACTTAAGACAATTACGTTTTTTTAAGTAGGGAGGGTAAAGGGCTCTAAATGGAAGTAAGAGTTCTATGCTTCAAAGTAGTAAAACACCAGTACTGACAGGGAAGTTAGTGTGCATATTGTAATACCTAGAGCACCTGCTAAGGAAATTATATGAAGCAGTGTACTCAAAAACACTATAAATCAATTGAAATTCTAAAGTGTTCAAAAAAAGGAGACCAAAAAAAAGGAAAAAAAAGGAACTGAAAGAAACTAAAGTGGCAGACTGAAGCCCTAACATATCAATCATTTAAATGAAAATATGGAGATTTGCAGAGTGGACAAAAATACAACACAGTTATATGCTATGTATACAAAACTGATTTCCAACATAATGGCACAGGCAGATGGAAAGTTAAAAGTTGGGAAAAGATACATCATGCTAACATTGATCAAAGAAAAGCAGAAGAGGCTGTGTTAGGATCAGACAAAGCAGACTTCAGAACAAAGGAAATTACCACAGACAAAGGAGCATACTACATAGTGATACAAGAAGACCTAAGTGAACGAAGAGATTTATTGACCAAAGAAACGTCCACATTTCCCAGTAAACGGGGAAAGAGACAAGTCAGCCACTCTACCTGCAGCAATCCGCTGACCTCAAAACTGTCTTCCTATTTATAGGACTGGCCAGTCACAGGGACTCCAAATACCCAGATATTCCCATCATGGCCTCAAATGCCATCTCCTCCCTCTTTGATGGTGGTCGTCTCCTAAGTATGTTTTGTGAAACCTGCAAGAGGGTTCAAGAGCTCCTTATTCTGGTGTTGGTCCTTTGTGGCAGGTCAGGCCACTGCTGAGCAAGGGACAGAGGATAAAGCTACATTGGAAGAAACAGCACCAGGAGACCTTTGTGCCCCCTCAGTCAATGCCTCCTTTAAGATGAAGGCAGAGCCACGTGAGACAGACCAGTGTCTCCCCCGACATGTTTGACTGGGCCATTCTCCTCTGATGGAACAAGAGCTCTTAATGCTCATGTCCATGGCCTAGGTCTCTGCCATCCCTCAACACAAATATCCACATAGGCCCTGGGTATCTGATGGGACTCATATCCTAAATGTCTACCAAACAGCCTTGCTGGCCCTTAGGAAGCAAACTCAAAGGAATAACGTTCCTCACCATTCATGTATTCATTGATTCATCCTAGATGCTGGGAATCCAACAGTGAGCAACAGCAACAACAACAACAACAACAACAACAACAACAAAACCAATCCTTGCTCTTGTAGAGTTTACATTCCAATGAAGAGGACAGTTTAACAAGTAATTATAATCATTCTAGTGGTAGGACAAAGGCAGCAATAAGATAAATATGGAAAGTGTGTGGAAGATTAGGCAGTAATAAGTGCTCTGGTGACTAAAACCTGAAAGGGTGATAAAAAGCTTTGGGGGAGGGAGGGGAGAGTGCTGCACAATTCTAAACAAGGTGGTTGAGGACAAGATACTGTTTGAGCAAAGACCTAAAAGGAGGTTGAGAAGCAAATTGTGTGGTTAAATGGGCACAGTTTGTCCCAGGATGGGCAAAGGTCCTGAGGCTGGATCATGCCTGGTGAGGTCTAAGAATATCAAGCAGCTACTGCAGCTAATGAGGTTCAGGCATGTTTGCCAAGAAAATTAAAGTGGGTTCGTGCAAGGCTTGTGAACATTGAAAGGTCACACTGGCTTTTTGTCTTGGTGAAATGTGGCACCGTTAGAAGACTTTGAGCAGAAAGGTATGATCAACCATTTCAATACGTCACGTGGCTGTTGTGTTAAGGACTGACTCTAAGGGGACAAGAGTGGAAGTTGGGGCCAGCTGGGGGGCACCCTCCCAGTGCTGCAGGCAAGAAACCATGGTGGCTCGGCCCAGGGCTGTGGCAGGGCAGGCGATGAGAAAAGTGGTTGGATTCTGGATGTGACAGGATGAAGTAGCTAACAGGACACCCTGTTGTGTTGGATGTGCAGGATAAAAAAAGAGGGGTAGTCAGATGACTCTGAGTTTTTGGAATTGTCAGCAAGGTGGATGAAAGTTGCCATGTCTGAGATAGGGAACGGCTAGCTGCAGGAGAAGCAGGTTCCGAGAGGGGGTGGGGGGTGAGGGCAGAGGTGGTCCTAAAGCCCGGAGACTGGATGAGATGGTATCTAAGAGAGTGAGTGTCCAAGAACATAACAGGTTCAAGGATATTTAAAGGTTAAAGAGAAGGAGGAACCAGCACAGGGGACTGAGGAGGGGCAGCCAGATAAAGGAAGCAGGCCAGATGAATGCAATTCCTGGAAGCAAAGTGAAGGACTGGAGTCAAGGAGGGAGCCATCTGCTGGGTCTAGTGCAGCAGGAAAATCTTCGATCACCTGGGAAAGAGCAGCTTTCAAAGATGGTGAGAGCAAAAAGTTCATTGGATGGGTTTGAGTGAGCAAAACAACTCTGATAGCAGCTTTCTTTTAAAGGGAGAGAAGTTGGATTATAGCTGGAGGGCTAAGTAGAGTCACATGAGGTGTTTTTGTTTTAGGATGAGTGAAATTATGTCTTGTTTATATGCCAGCAGGAAGGTCTAGTGGGCGGAGCATGGGGAATGCCGGACAGAGGACCACTGGAATGGCTTCCAAATGCACACTGTGGCATGCTGACCCTGCTAGGAGGGATGGTTTATTGCTAGCCACAGGGTGGGAGGCCATGGCTGGGATTCAGGTGTGGATGGGGGGTGGGGCTGGATGAGACCCTGGAACAGCTCTTCTGACTTCTTCTGTTAAGCTGTTGAACCAGGAAACAAGGCCATGCTTTTGTGATGGTGGGGAAGTTGGAGGAGAGGGGGGAGGTGCAAAAAGTATGCAGGAGAGGTCGTGGATGAGGCTGCCAGGCAGCAGTAAAGGTTTCCCAGAAACTGGTGACCGTGGACTTAAAGTGCCACCAGCGACAGCGGTTGTGCCTTTCTCCATGAACGTTGAGCTACGCTGGTGCACATGTGGAGTAGAGGGGAGACGAACATGAGTCCACAGCCTTTCCAACACCTGTCCTGTGGTGGGCGAGGGAGCATCTTCCTTGCCTCTCTGTGTCTAGTTAGGATAGAAGCTCTTTAGTTACCTGTGGCTGGGCGGTCCTGAACAACTGTCGTGGGTGGGCAGGAAAAGTGGGGGAAATACTCCTCTGAGCCAAGGTGGGACCCGAGAGTAATGTCCTACCTACCAGAGTTGGGTCCTGGAGCAGGTCATTGTGACTTTGATGCAGCATCTGTTCCTGGTCAAGGGCATCTTGTCAGCCAGGACCACCTTCCTCTTCAGTTACTTCATTCCAGGGTTTTCTCTATGTGTAAGGCCTCCACATTACCTAGCTGGTTTCTCAAAGTGTTAAGGCACCTGCCACTTGCTCATTTACTTTTCTCCTGTATGCTTTCAGGTTTGTGGTCCGCAGGTGTTCAGGATGCCGGTGTAAATGAACAGTGTGGCGACATCCTCACCAACAAACGGTTCATGCTGGACATGCTGTATGCCCATAACAGAAAGCCCACGGATGACGAGGAGAAGGGGGAGGGCGAGACCGGGAGGACTGAGCCAGGTGCGGAGGCGGTAGCCAGCCTGGCTAGCAGGATATCCACCCTGCAGGCCAACTCCCTGGCCCAGGATGAGAGCGTCAGGAGGGTGGACGTTGGCTGTCTGGACAATCGGGGCAGCGTGAAAGCCTTCGCTGAGAAATTCAACAGCGGGGACCTGGGGAGAGGGTCCGTCTCTGCTGATGCCGAGCCTAATGACAAAGTCCCAGAGAAAGCATCTGCACAGCAGAAGACAGAATCTGACTACATTTGGGACCAGCTCATGGCCAATCCGAGGGAGCTGAGAATCCAAGACATGGATTTCACCGACCTGGGGGAGGAGGACGACATTGACGTCCTGGATGTGGACCTGGGACCCAGGGAGGCTCCGGGGCCCCCGCCCCCGCCCCCACCCACTTTTCTGGGTTTGCCTCCCCCACCCCCACCACCCCTGTTGGACAGCGTGCCTCCCCCTCCTGTCCCCGGTAATTTATTGGCTCCTCCTCCTCCAGTGTTCAACGCTCCTCAGGGCTTAGGGTGGCCCCAGGTACCCCGGGGTCAGCCGGCATTCACGAAGAAAAAGAAGACCATCCGTCTATTCTGGAATGAAGTGCGGCCGTTCGAGTGGCCATGTAAGAACAACCGCCGCTGCAGAGAATTCCTGTGGTCAAAACTGGAACCTATTAAGGTGGACACTTCCAGGCTGGAGCACCTGTTTGAGTCTAAGTCTAAGGAACTGTCCGTCTCAAAGGTACCGCTAGCATCCGAAATGCTTCTTGATTTGCAGAGTTCCTTTCTGTTGTTGAGTAGCACTGAGAGAGATGTTGTATATAAAATTCCCTTTGTGCTGCTTTTGCTATATGGTAAAAAAAAAAAAAAAAAAGGGGGGGGGGTTGCAGTTGGTATAAACACCTCTAAGAGATTAGTCTTTGTGCCATATGCTAGATGTAAGGTAAGTGAGTCTGGGACCCTTCATGGCTAACATGGACAGCAGCTTACTGACACCGTTAGGCGAAGTAGCTTTCAAAGAACCAAATAACCCAGAGGAAAAGACAAAAACATTAACCAGGAAATATCAGTAGAGGCCACCAGTAGATGCTGATGTTAACTAGAGGAAAGTGTCTTGCTAATTTATATAAAGCACGTGGACTTTATCCAGGAGATGTGTCTATTTACTCTTACCTTGATTGATTATAGTTGATGGCAGTGGTAGTTTGAACCTCAGATGTAACCACAAGGTAATTTAGAGTAAACTTGCAAGAACTTACCATAAATTAGTTTTAGCTCCATGTGTTCTATTTATCATCATTTTGGATGAATACTAAGCTGCCTGAGCCAGATTCCCCGACCTGCCAGTCAAGTACCAATTCAGAATCAAAAAGTATGTGCAGCATTCTCAGGACAAGAGGGACGTTCAGACAAGGAGCCAAGTGACAGAGTTAGTGCCTATGGGGTGGGGCTAGGGGGACTTAGAAGTAGGGGTGCTGCTTTTCCCAAATTGACCTTTTCCCTGGTGCCAATTTTTTAAAAAATTTTTAATGTTTATTTTTGAAGGAGAGAGGGACAGAACGTGAGTGGGGAAGGAGGCAGAGAGAGGGAGACACAGAATCAAAAGTAAGCTCCAGGCTATGAGCTGTCGGCACAGAGCCCGATGTGGGGCTCGAACCCATGAGCCATGGGATCATGACCTGAGCCAAAGTCAGACGCCCAACTGACTGAGCCACCCAGGTGCCCCCCCTGGTGTCAATTTCTACCCAGCGTCTGCAAGGTTGTGAATCTAAACTGTTCAGGAACCACCCCAGTTCAGAATGAAAGCTTCCTCCTGTTTATAAATCCAAACTGCTAGGATCCAACAGAGCAAATCATGTCCAGTCAGTCCTCTCCTTCAGCTGAAAGTAGACTCCTTTTTGTCCCCTCTAGAAAATGACACCTAGGAAGGTGAGATTGGGCATCTGCTCTCAGCATCTCTGTGTCCTGACTTTGCCAGGACTGGTGACATGTTGTGCTGAGCCACCCATGTGTCTCCTTGAGGTCTTGCAATGGAGCCCGGCATATGGGAGAGGGTATTCCTGGCTGGTTAAAACAGCAGTCTCTGGTGGCCCGAAGTCATCCAGGGCCCGTCCTCGCTCACACCACCCTCCAACCTACGGGTCTAGTTGGCTGGTCTCCTTGAACCACCTCCCTGCATGGGCTCATCTGGCTGGTGTGCCCTCTGGGCTTCCACTGGTTGCTCAATACCCTTTGGTTGCTGGCCCTTGACTCGAGTTGGAGTAAGAAAAGGGAGTAACAGTTTGGCAGTGAGGTTCCTTCTGACTTCATCTTTAGAAAGGAAATAGCAAGATTAAAAGCTTCCTTGAGAAGACCCAAAATGGGCAATTCACCTGCCTCCCTCCTTCTCTTGACCCTACTCTGGTTGGTGACAAGAGCCTGGCCACTGCCATCTCATTAGCCTGAAGTTCCATTCTTGTTTGAAGTAGGTGGTGACCTCTTAAAATACTTCATTGCCTGGCTAAAAAACAAATTTTTGCTTGGTTTTAATAAAGTGAGCAGAAGAGAAAATAATACATTGAAAATTTTACCTAACAGATTCCAGAATGTTCTACAGTGGGACCTAGGAACCCATACCTTTGTTCTTGGTGGCAGGGTGGAAGGAGATAGGAAATGTGAGCAGGAACTAATTTACAAATGTTACAGAAGGTAAAAATGCACATTAAGATTAAAATACATCATACTGGAGAATTGAATCCCTTATGTGTGTGGTATCAATGCAGATATAACCAATTTGACTTCTGTTTCTAATCCTTGACTGTGATTTTCATAAAACACAGCTGTAAACAGCCATTTCTGAATTCTGGCTTGTGAATTAATTCATTATTCATTAAACACAATAGCAAAGAAATGAAAATGAAATAGACTTCACAAGCCCACACAGAGCAAAGGGAATCGGTTTCGGTTTTTGTCAGAAAACTTATACCAGACTGGATTTCCAGAGCATGCCTCTGACCATCCGGGTCACCCCCAAAACAAAGATTCATGTTCCAGATCCAAGGCTGGGTGACCACTTAATGGAAATAAGAACAGGAAAATATGCTTTCATATTTCCATTCCAAATAATTTTTGGAACTGGGTCTGTTTTTCTCAGTAGGAAATATATTTAGCTTTTTAGTAAGATGAGTTTAATTATGTTTTGTGGAGGAAGACGGAGATCCTCTGCTAAGTTTCATCATGTTGTGTTTCTACCGCTGGTCTAAGATGTGGTGAAGCACACAGAAGATCCTATGAGTGACCCCAGAGAATGATGTCAAGGCAGAAAGCCCCGGGAAGTATAGGGATGTACCCTCACGGACTTCACATCATCCTGAGGAGCTCCAGGAAGTAGCCTTCATCCTGTATGCCTAATCAAGGGCGGCAAAGTCCCTTCTCCCAAAAGGCAGTTTTTATAACCTGAGTTATAGACAGACCAAGACAGGTGTGGAGTGGAAGAGAAAACCAGAAGAAAGGGAATTGGTCTCCCCTTTGAGGGCTCAGTGCTGCTTTCCTCCCCTGGACTCACTAGGCTTATCATGGGAATTCCAAAATGGGTTCAGAGAAATTTTTTCAACTTGCTTTGCTCTGACATTTCAAAACATATCAGAAACTATTCGCAGTGACTTTCTAAGAAAATTCAGAGAATGATGAATTATTTGGTCTGGGGTGAGCCCCAGTCTGGGTTATTTTTTAAAAGCTCCCCAGGGACTCAACCAAAGTTGTGCACCATTGATTTAAAGTGAAAAATGAGGCACCAGGGAGGGAGGCATTGATCCTTACACCACCACACTCCATGTCGACTCCCCCATACCTCAAACCATTTTATTCTCCCGAGAAGGGAATCGAGTTTTCCTACCTTATACTCAAGTTCAGGACGTACCAAAATGTTATTTTCTGTAACACCACCCTCAGAAAACCTGAATTCTATCATACAGAAACTCAAACCCAATTTTGGGACATCGGTGGGGTGACCATACATCTAGGGTCTCCAGGTTGGCCCAGCTGTATGTCTGTTGTCCCGGCATCTATTAAGAGCACTCCCTTTCTCTCTCAGAGGTCTTCTGGTTAAGGTACTAGACACACTCCATTACCATCAGAAATGCAGCTGTCTTGCAGCGGGCCTCAGTCTGGAAGGCTGCTGAAGGAGAACTGGGAAATTAATGCTTTTTTCCCCTAAGGTTCATGATAAGGCAAGCCTATTCTAGCACATTCCTCAGAAACTCTATTCCTAGCTACAGGTTTGTCAGCCTTTATGCAGACATAGTTGGATGATGTCGTTGTGGCCTTAACGCTTGCCCATGTGTTTCAGTCTCCCTTGTTACAAGGACTTAGGAATATTCCATAGTTGTCACATCTTTATGACATCTGTATTGTGGCCTCATTGTCATTGTCACTTTCTCAACAGGCAGTTTTGAAAATAACCAGTGGTGTCACTCTTTTGGCAGTGAGTGGGGAGTGAGGAGGAATGATTTATCATTGCAAAGCCAGCGCCTTGCTGAGCCAGACCCAGGGACTGTGACCGCGATGCTGAGAAGCATTTTGAGAGGAGGTGCCTTTCATGGGAGTGCTTTCCAGCTTAGGGGTGCTCATTTAATAATAAATCGCTTCCTTAGCTTGGTTTCTGCATTCAGTCACAGCACCCTCTGGGGTGGCAAGTTCTATATACTGAATATCCACTGTTTAAAGGTGGCATCCTTTATTTCTAGTAAAATCAGTCTTCGAAAATTCGAAGGGGTGACCCTTCAGGGCCACATCAGCACCCTGGCAAACAAGCCCTGTCTACCTGCCCAGACAGCATGCCTCCACAGGTGTTTCTCATTTCATACTGTCACCTCGTGAGGAAGTCTCTGCCTTCACTATGGCCCTTCGCTGGACCTTGGACCTCCTCACATGGTGTGCCATGGGCGGAAGCCCCAGGACTATGTGGAGACGTGGAGCCAGGTTTTTTGTTTTATCTGCAAGCACCACACTCATGATGTGGTTGTGTGATGTTAGCTGTGGCAGGATGTGTGGCCCTGTCTTCAGCAGTCAGCTGCACCCAACCCCGGAGCCTCCCAAGCTGCTTTGCCCCTGAGTCTGGAAAGACTGTTTCTCTCTAACTGACGGCTTAGCTCCTGGTACTTGGGATGAGCCTGGCATTTGTTGGGTGTGTCGGGCTTGTTTTAACATCAATAAAAACTCCCTGCATTGTCTGTTGCTGTGGGGACTTGATCCTACATCATTCATAAAAATGACAGGACTAGTCCTTGTTGTCTCTTAGAATGGGCAGGGGGACCCTGTTAGTGTTTTTCTATTTTAAGAAATGTTCTCTGCTCCCTCCCTTTTGCTTCCTGTTTTTAAATTGCATTCCTCTTTAAAGAACAACTTTCTACTCAGCATTTCTGTCTCAAAAGCCTTTAAACTTTCAAAAAGTCTAAATCAGTCTCTCTAGATGCGTGAGAGGCCATTTAGCATCTGTGGTCCCTGTGCCCTGCTCCAGACCAAGGAGATCAGAATCTCCGAGGACGATGCCCAGGCATCACTGAGGTTTAGCAGTACCACTGAAGATTCTCTAGTGCACTCACTGTGGTGCCTCGATCTAGATAAACTGCATTTTCTGGTTTTCCTTCAGAAGGTGTCAGGAGATTGATCAGGCCTGCTTCCTTCTCCGATACATAATGCTGAGTTTCTCCCAGCTAGTGGTAATGAGCGACTTCATGTTGACCCATTCTGCCATCAGTCATGGAGGCAGCCATGTCTCCTGGAAAAGGAGAATCCCCTGTTCTTTCTCCAGAAGGCCCCTTTGCCCCTTTCAATTAGCCTAGAGACCAGTCTGTTCACCTCAGAAGGGAATTTGGCATGTGGAGATCACCATGATATTCTCTTTGTTAAAAACAGAAACTGAGACGTTCTCTACATTCTTTTCTGCAAGATCTTTAGTACCATTCAAGGCATGCTCATTTGCCGGGATTCCATGCGCCTGGAGGTCTGTGCGGACTCTAATAAACACCCATGAGCTATTTTCAGTCATTCCGAAAGCCCCATGCAAGTTGTCCTGTCCGTATTCCCGGCAAGCAGCTTTATGGGCCACATTGAATGTTGAGTCTCTATACTTTCCTCTGGAATTATCACTCTCCAGGGTGTGAACCCTGATCTGATGTGACCTTCTTATTTATGTAGGTGTCTTTGATCAGTAAATGTGGTAGATACATTAGTCATGAAAAATACATCATGGTAGACCATATATTTTTAAAATGTCAGTTGAATAGAAATGATAAAAAGGAGTCATTGGTGGTGAAATAGCTAAGAGCTAATTTTTAGAAGGCAGTATGTTTCAAGCATTGTCATAAGTACCTTACATGTATTAATTCCAGTAATGCTCTTCTGATAGCTCTGGCAAATACCTCTGTAGTATCTACCATGGGCCAGGCATTGTTCTTGCTGCTTTAGATCCATTATCTCATTTCATGCTCACAGCAAACCTTGCAAGATATGTGCCAGAGAGGAAACTGAAGTGCAGAGAGGTCCGGTGACTTGCCAAAGTCACACAGCCATGAATGGTCACATCCCAGCTGAAGTTACCTTTCAGGGCTTCTGAGTCTGTCCATGTGATCCTTGGAAATCCATTTTGTTTCTGTCACTTTTTGATAAAAGATCAATCAGCCAAAGTTCTGTCCACCTCAGTGAGTCTCAAGAACTATCAGAGAAGAAAGGATTGCTAGAAGGACGCTCCCTTGGGCCCAAGCTCGGGCATAGCATGTTAGATTAGGACTTGGCTGAAAGCGAAATAGGAACAGTGGGCTCTGGTGTGAGATAGTTGCCCCAGCAAAAGAGTGGTAGTGAGGCAGTGTCGGGAAAACCACTGTGGAGCTGTCTCTGTACATGCCACTTTTCCAAGTATGTCCAGACGTGTTCAGGGGAAAAGGAGCTTGTTTCTTTAAGGGGTTGAGGTACCCTGGGAAGAAGCCAAGCTCTGCTTTGCTTCCAGAAAACCTGGTTAAGCTGAACTCTTGAGCAGAACCAGGCTGTAATGCCCAGCATACAGAATAGCACCACCTTTGAAGTCCCAAGTATCAGGGATCCTCTAGTGTGCCAACAATTGCCTTTCCAGAAATACTGTCTCTGGGGAAATGCTTCAGTCTTGGATGCCATGTAGGGCTTTTGTCTGTTTTTGTTTCTGATTCAGCCAAGAAGATTGTAAGGAGAGGGGAGGCGGTATAAAGTCCCAAACTGGTTAGAGAAGAGGTTACCCTCTATGGAAAGAGATGCTGTAAAGGTGAGCAGAGACCTTGCAAAAGGGTCAGGAAGGAGGTCACTAAGGCAATTCAACTCCTTTCTCCCAAGCTGTGCAAGAAGACTGAAGGTCTAGCTTCCAAGAAGACAGAAGTGAGCCCCTTCAGGAAGCAGCTTTCAATAGGCAGCATCCAAGACTCTGAGAGTTACAGGATTTTTGAGAAGCGTAGAGGAGATAGTCAATTTAAGTGATTATTACTAACTATTAAGGCTTAGGGGGAAGGCTGTGACCATTCCCTGCAGCCCCAGATTCACCTAGTGATCAGCTTCCTAAGATGGTGTCTACTCTCTAGAACCAATCTTCTTTAAGACCTAGAGGCCTACAAACAGTTACTGTGTCACACGATCATTTGAAGGACATGGTGAAGGTCAGACTTGCTGATCTGGGACTTTGATCACAGAAAGACCATTAAAATGGATCAAATTTGACGACTGCTAATCCTGCAGCACAAACATGTGCTCCTGGGCACAGAGAACTTTGGCTCACCCTTGCAGGTACTGCTCTAGGTTATTGTGGAAGGGAAAGAGAGAGTCAGACATCCCCTTATGACCCCCTCCTTCATCTTGGATAGAACGGACCCTAGGGCACATGCGTGCTCAGCAGCCTCCTGTGGAGTCCATTTTAATGATGAGGAACAGCATTTAATACACCTTTTGGACAATGTCCAGAGATTGAACAATTACATTTCAGATATTACCTTAATTCTATTCTTTCCCTTACCAAGTGGGTCAAAGTGCTCTGAAAACACGTGGAGTCATCTTTGGGGACAGCTCTCCCTGTCATTTCAGGAAGCTCGGCGGCTTGCTTCTCCCTGACTTGTAGGGGAGTGTGTGGATGTGCTCACTGGCATAAATTGAATTCTGTTGGGAATGGAGACCAGGACATGTCCTGCTCAGGGCCATCACATAGGTGTGTGCAGGTTGTGTGCTGTGCAGGCTGCCGTGGGGCTGTGTCTTCTCAGGGAAGGAGTCTTTTTCTCATTTGCACAAAGGCTAGGTTGGGCTGAGTCTGCTCAGTCCTCTTTCCAGGCTCTTGGAGTAAAGAGGGGCTAAATAGAAGAAGGCCTAATGGCTAATGATTCCCAGGGAATCCCTGCCTTCCAGGAAATATCTCCTGTACTGGAGCCTGCCTATGGGTAGTTGGCTCTGCAACGCCAGGTCCCAGACTCCTTCTGCCACCTGTGCTGCCCTCCTTATGCTCACAGGATGTCTGCTGTAGCATCTTCAGGCCTCGTGTCCTGGCATCCCTCTTTGTTGACTGTACTCAGCATTTTGCCAAACCTTTTCTCATTCCTTCTTAGTTTTCCACACACAAAATAGTGTGTTAGATTTGAAAGCTGAATTTCAGGGGCCCCAAATAAGCTTACTTGATTAAATAATAGCAGATAAGCTTGCCCTGCAGAGTGGAATGCTTCTACGCCACATGTCCCTGGGCATTCAGACCTGATCACACCCACAAGAATTGTTCTTCTGGGCCACCAGGCTCCAAAACAGCTGGGGATGCTTTCAGTTATTGTCTTCGTGAGGAAATTTTAATTTATTCCCAAATGCATAGTTAAGGACTTAAAATAGAATTTTAGCAATTGAGTTTGGAAGGGCTTAGTAGGGCTTAAGGAACCACAGTCCATTTCTCCTTGCCAGCTTGCAGCCTTCAGTGTTAAAGCAGGCCAGCTTCTCCAGAAAGCTCAGCTGCTCGAAGGCCCAGCCAGTAGGGAGGGCCTTGGTGCAGGAGACTGAGGGCAGCATCAGCCACTCGGCTGGGGCCTGCGTGCAGCAGAATTGGAGCAGCTGGTTCCTGAGGTCCCCTGCATATGGCCCCCAGACCTCCTGCTCCATCCCTGGAAGTTCCCAGCAAGCTAGGCAAAGCCACTTCTTGTCTCCTTATCTTCACTCCCCAGCTCCAGGCTCTCCCCTAGACATTCCTTAGGGCCCAGGCCAAGTGTCAGCTCCTTGAGACCCTGACCTCCTCCACCACCAGCTAAATTAACTACCATGCCACTGAGCCCTTTCCCACAGGGAGCACACCCACCACCGTGCTGAATGTGTCTTTTCCTTCAAGGACATCCCTTGTGGCTTCTTCATCATTATCGTCCTGGGCTTCGGCTTGTTACACAGGTGAAAATAGTCATCCTTCCAGCTCTGTTTGTCTCCAGGGAAATCTGAGCACACACAGGGTGCTGGCTGAGCTGCCACATCTCCACTTTCTTCCATCGCCACCCGCCCTTCCCGAGAGCTGAGGGCTGGAGGCTTTGTCATCTCGACTCTGGACACAGGTTGGCTTATCGCCTCTCATACTTGGTAAGCTCTGGTCATGTGCCAGCCCAGAGCCTGCCCCCAAGGAGCACCCAGGCCAGCAGGGAAGCCATATGCACAAGGGCTCTGTGAGGAGACCTGGACACTTGTTGTTCCCTGTCCCCCTCTTTGGCCTCTGGGCCAATTCATCCCCCATTTTTCTTCAGCAGGTTCTCTTTTGCTTTCCTTCCACATAAGGCCCCTTCTCAGCTGCCAGATGTCTAAGTGTGGCAGGTGCTCTGCTAGAAGGAGCACAGGATGTTTAAATGGTGAGAGAATTCCCTGAGACAGTGTGGCCAGGGATGCAGGGGGCTGCCCCGCCAGCGACGCTGGATTCTCCTTGCCACTCTCGTCTTCTCCGCATGTACCACGTGTGCTAAGGCCAACCAAGGCGCATTCCGACACCTTGCAGCCTGTAGGAAGGGAACTTTGAGAGGTTTTAGTTCTGTTTCCACTGCCTCTGTGGAAAAAAACAGGTTTTTTTTTTCTTGCCAAATATCACATTTTTCCCAATTGAAGGAAAATCAATTTTATTTTGTAATGTGTCTGACTCGCGAAGTTCCATTGCTGACCCATGCTTGGCGGCTTCTCAGAACTAATCCCTGATCTCTTTCTTCTGTGCTGAGCAGTAGCCAGTCCTTCCCTGAGCTGAATCGGGGCCATTTGTTTTCATCTCTAAATAAGTAGTGAGTTTGCTTTTGATAATGAAACACAGAAAGGACCAAAGATGATGCATTAATCTTGGATTCTCCTTATTTTATCACCAAGAAAACTGCTGCAGATGGAAAAAGGCAGGAGGTCATCGTCCTGGACCCCAAGAGGAGCAATGCTATTAATATCGGTCTGACAGTGCTGCCCCCTCCGAGGACGATTAAGATAGCCATTTTGAATTTCGATGAATACGCCTTAAACAAAGAAGGAATTGAGGTAAGAGAAGCTCTATCAAGCATTATTTGTGCTCTGTTAACATGTCCCATATGTAAAGCATTACTGTGTCCAATATGACTTTCTCCACAGGGTGCCTTGCCATTTTTCTGTTTCAGCCAAACTCTGAATAATGTTAATAATTTGCACATTTTTTTAACTTCTGGGTTGTGGGGGGAAACCCCACTTGGCCTATGAAGTTCAGTGATCCTCACTGTCTGGTTCATTTGCTGCCTGCTTTCTGACCATGCTCGCCTACCTCGGCCCAGAAGAAGACTAGGATAACCCCAGGAGGCTAGGAGGGTCTTCTTTCATGTCCTTGCCAACCAAACAAGCTTAACGAGCAAGTACTTTCACAAGTAGGGATTTCAGTGTGTGCTCACATCCATGTGAATGGCTCTTTTTCTGCCTTGGTGCTCACCGATATGTGTAGAGATAGGTTTTGTGTGATATGCTGGGGAACCCATACCACCTCCCCTGTAGCAGTTGTTGATCCGGATGGCAGCAGTGGAGAGGTGGGTCACTGGCTGTGACTACACGGTCTGCTGGGCTCAGTGCTCTTCAGCCAGGCCCCGTTCTGCCTCCACCGTGGGCTACTGCCACTTTGCAGCAAGTTAAAGCTCATATTCTAATAATGGAGAACAAGTGAGGGGAGTGAGGGACCCAGCATGCAGATTCTGCCAGATGGGCGGCAGAGCCTGGGGCCCGCTGGGTCACCGCGGGGGTGTGAGGATGTTGCACTGTGGGGTTGGGTGACCCCTGCTCCATCCCCCTGTTGACAGGAGCCCCAGATCCCACTAAAGCCTTCCGTAGTTGGGGCTCATTGGTGCACAGCCTCTTCTGAGGGCTGGAGAGTGGATGGGACCAGTGAAGACCGGCTTAAGAGGGCGAGTGAGCCCCAGACAGTGAGGAAAGGCCCTGGGCCATGGTGCCAGGCTCACCCATGGTCCCGAGTGTGGGAAGGGGCAGTGGAGCCCTTGGGGCCAAGTGGGTCTGAGCCCAGTGGGCCAGGGATGCCTATGTGCTTTGGAAAGATGAGCTCCCTCCTGCCCCCAAGAAAAACTGTGCTCCTAGAGGCTTATACTGGGTTAGTAGGATCCCTTCAAAATCCATGTCCACCCACAAACTCAGAATGTGACCTTATATGGAAATAGGGTCTTGGCAGATAAAATTGAGATAAAGTCATATTCAATTAGGGTGGGCTCTACTCCAGTGACTAATGTCCTTATCAGAGGAGGGAAGCTTGGACAGGGACACACAGAGGGGAATGCCGTTCCGTGAAGACAGAGCACACACAAGGACACATGCAGAACAGACTGCTGTGTGATGACTGAGGTAGACATGGGAGTGATGTGTTTACAAGTCGAGGGACACCAAGGGCCACCTGCAACTACCAGAAAGTGGGAAGGGGTCAGGAAGAATCCCCTCCTAAGGCCTTCAGAGAGAACATTGCCCTGCTGACACCTTGGTATCAGATTTGTAATCTCTTAAACCAAGAGAATTCTGTTGTTCTGAACCACCCAGTTTGTAGTATTTTGTATGACAACTCTAGGAAACCAGTACAAGACCTAAGCAGCTGTCTACTGAGAAACAGACACATGCTCTGTTCCTGGAGCCAGGTACAAAGTGGGGCATGCATTTGCCTTCTGGCTGGAAACAGTGGAGCCCGGAGCCCTGGAGTCAGGCCAGGCAGCAGAGCAGGTGAATGTGTCTAGGTGGGCAGCCAGGGAGTGAGGGCATGTGGCTGACTCAGGCAGGGGTATGAAGGAGAGAGAGCAGGTGACAGCAAGCAAACACAGTGAAGGAAATGGAGGCAGCTACTAGACAGTGAGAAGGAAGCAGGCCAGGCCTCAGTGTGAAGGCAGCCCTCTCTCTGTGGCCCCCGGAGAAGTGAGGGAGGAGAAGGGCATTGGCTGGCCACCAGGCAGATGGGTGCTGCCAACCTGGATGAACCAAGCACAGCGTGTCTTTCATCTAGAACAAACTACGTGGAGGGCCCAAGCACACATTCCAGCCGTCCTATTTACTTAACAGTGTCTTTCAGAGATTTCAAAAGTTTCAGATTCATACAAAGAGAGGCTTCAGATGCAGCCAGAGCCAGCCTGATTGAAGGAAAAAATGACAGCTTCCCCTTTTAAAAATATTTCCCCTTCTTGTCATGAGAACTTGAAAGTCCATCAGGAGAGATTGATTCCTTTGGGTTTTGCCTTTGTTCTTTCCTGAAATGTAGCTCTCCTCGGGTAGGGAAAGTTTCAGGTACAAGTTACTTATTATTGTAGATTTTAGAATAACTCAAATCACTTTTATTTCTAACTGTTTTCCAGATGAGTACCTGCTTTTTTTTTTTTTTAAATGTTTGTTTATTTTTGAGAGAGAGGGAACGAGGGGGGGTTGCTGAGAGAGATAAAGGATCCAAAGTGGGCTCTGCACTTTCAGCATGGAGCCCGACATAGGGCTTGAACTCACCAACCGCAAGATCATGACCCAGGCCAAAGTCAGACGCTTAACTGATGAGCCACTCAGGTGCCCTGTTGAGTATCTTTTTGATCCAGGAAGGAACAATACCAGCAACAGTAGTGTTGCTGATGGCTACGGGAACAACACCACAGCACTAAACTTGACTTCCGTAGCTTTCTTCCTGTGGGCCAGGCACAAGCCGGGTGCTCTCCGTAGATTCTCAGGCAGTACGGCTATTATGTTCCCCATCATAACCGTGAGAGAGTCCCAGAGTCAGTCTGTCTCCGGGCTCTTCATTCATACTGATGAAGTCTGAGTCTGAAGTGCAGACCCTGTGCCTTGGGGATGGAGGGCATTCTGTGCCGGGACTCACATGACAGAAAGAACAAGAAGGAATCTGAAAGGTGATGAGGGCCCCTGTGGAGCAGCACAGCCCACCTCACAGCGCTGCCTGTGGTGTGGCCCCAGAGAGGTAGCTGATGTGTGGAAGGGTTTATGGTGGGAGGGAACAGCCATAGAAATAAGTCCCTGCTGACGCTGCCTGGGAGTTCATTGTGTTACATGAGCTCATTACGTGCATCCTGAGTCATGATCGCACATGGACTTGCACAATTTTCACCACCAGTTTTTATCTAAACAGGGTTTCTCAACCGTGTTACTACTGACATTCCAGATGGGATGGTTCTTTATTGTGGGGGTGTCCCCTCCATTGTAGGATGTTAGCGGCAGCTCTCGCCTCCACCTACGACGTGCCAGTGATACCACCCCAGCAGTTACCACCAAAAATGTCTCCACACTTTTTCAGACATCCACTGGAGGCAAAATGCACCCTAATTGAGAATGCCTCATCTGAAGGCTGCCTGTGTGAAGCCGGGGACTCTGTGTTTTTCGGTTCTTGTCAGCCATGCTGAGAAGATTCCAGTGGAAACCAGACACAGTCATCTGTCACCTGCCCTCTCTGGTCACTGATCTCCAGGACCTGAGAGGCATAGATAGTCTGGATCCATGTCCTGGGCCATTACCCAGAGCTTATTTTCTGGGCTTGTTGTTTAAGAGCTAACTCAGGACTGAGAAGAGATGGATATTGTGTGCTTAGAGATCTTTACTAATAAGATTTCCAGCTTGTGCCCCAAGGGCCTTTTGCCAAACAGACTGTCTGCTTCTTGGACACAGACACAGTAGCCTGGCACCACGTCTTAATAGGGCCATTTGAAACCTCTGTGTACCAAACGTGATTAGGATGTATTAAATTACATCCTGTGGCTTCGCTTAGCAACCCGCTGATAGGTATCCGCCTTTGCCATGAAAACCTGAGGGGGCGGGTAAGTAACTTCATTAAGGAAGTAATTTTTCATAAGAGTATTAAACTTTAGAACACATTTGGGGAGCCATCTCTAAGTAGTATTAATGATATGTTTCCAACTAAAATGTCATCAGGTTATTACAAATGGAAGTATGAAGGGTTTTCCTTTTTTTCTTGTGCTTTTCTAATGTTTATACAGTCTGTATGACTAAATGGTCCCAAATGATACTTAATTTGGCTCATTTTGGCTTCCAGGCCTGCCAGCACCCTAGACATAGAAAGTCCCTGGGGCGCTTGGGTGGCTCAGGCGGTTGAGCATCTGACTCTTGATTCCTCCTCAGGTGATCATCTTGGAGTTCATGAGATCAAACCCCACATTGGGCTCTGCACTGAGCCTGTCTGGGATTCTCTCTCTTTGCCCCTCCCCCACTCATGCTCTCTTTCTGTCTCTCAAAAATAAACAAACATTAAGGAGAAGAAAGAAAGAAAGAAAGAGAGAGTCCCTTTGGCTGCATATACAACATGATAGCACCTTTTCAGACAGTCTCTGCTGTTCGGCCCCTGTCCCAGTACGTGCTGGACACAGATTAGCCGGAGCCCAGGAGCCACGGTCGATCAGCAGTGCCAGGGAACCAGGATATCCCTTTAGCAGGGCACCTGAGCCACCCTGGTGGTTTTGAGTTGCAAGGCCCTGAACTCTGGAGACCGTGCTGGAAAAGCGGGAGCAGCCCGTTGGTGGTCCTGCAGCTCAGCCTTGGTGGATCCAACCTAGCCTCAGGCACACCACTTCCTCTGCAGAGCTGATGCAATATTTTCTGCCCCACGTGCCTCACTGAGTACTCAAAAGAATGGAAGAAAATACAATCAAGACACCTTGAGAAGTAAAGGGGGAAAGAATCCCCACATAAGAAATAAGTATGTGAATAAAGCCATGGTCTCAGGAGATGATGCAAGTTGTGCACAAGCCAGCCCCAGCTCGAAGTGTCCCACCTTTCTGCTGTTGTCACCAAAGGCCTTGTGCTAAACTCTCATCCAGAGCTCTGGCCAGGGTTCTGTTCAAAACTCTCAGGGCAAAATAATGCCCTGTTAGCCTTTTTAAAATATATTTATTTTTATTTAAAAACATTTTTTTAACATTTGTTTATTTTTGAGAGAGAGAGAAACAGAGTGCAAGTGGGAGAGGGACAGAGAGAGAGGGAGACACAGAATCTGGGCAGGCTCCAGGCTCTGAGCTCGAACCCACAGACCACGAGATCATGACCTGAGTCAAAGTCAGACACTTAACCGACTGAGCCACCCAGGCGCTCCTTCTTTTTATAGTCTTGTTTGCAGGTGAATGAGATGGCCAAACCCCAAAGCATTTAGGTTCATAAAAAATGAGACTCCTCCATGTTTCTCTGAAATTTGGTTTTCGGATAACAAAGCAAGTATACTTTAAGCAGTGCTGGCAGAACACCGTCTGGGAGAAAGCAAAAACAGAAAACAAACCCTGGGATTATTACATAGTAGTTTTGTTTGATGTCTTTTCCCCCGTGAAACCAAATGGTGACCAAAAAATCATCAATAAATTCACCCACATGGAAGAAGAGCAAATTAAAACTACCTGTTCGAGCTCATCCCCTTATCATCTGCTCATGGCAGAAAGCTGTCAGCTCATAGAAGGTGGCTTTGGCCTGCTCTTCCACTGTCTTATGGCTATTTTTATTGCCAGGGACGTGTAAAAAATAAAGTGAAATAAACCGGCAGCTGGCAACGTCATAAATCTTCAGCGGTGAACTAATGGTTTAAATTAGTCAGAGAAGTACAAAACAAAAGTAAGAGTGTTTGATTACTTTCCCAAAGGAAAGAAGCAACCAAAATCATTGCCGGAAAATGCCTTCTGAAGAAGGAGGAAAAGTGTTGACAATTTTTTGTTCTGGAATTCTTGTGCATGCTTTAAGCAATTGAAGCAGTAAGAAAATGAGAACACACATTTTAGTTTTTGTTTTGAAGGCTAGTTAAATTCAGATCCTGAATGTGTTTAAAGCAATGACATCTGCTTGCATTGTTTGGGTTATTGTTTTAATACCATCTGTGGGGACAGGTGGGGGCAAGAGCATGAGCCTCCGGGGGAGCAAAGAGTGAGGGTCCTGATGCTCACGTTCCACCCACACAGTCTCAGTGTCAGGGCCACGATGAAGGGAATATTGGAAGAGGAGGTATCTAGGCTCCCCTTCTGCAACCTCGCTGTGCCCAAAGCACAGAACACACAGCTTCAGCGTAGTTTGGCATCACTGGCTTCTAAGAAACTCCAGAGATGACCATCCTGAGAACGCTCTCGTCAGACCCAGGATGCCAGCCACCCCACCCGTATATGTCATGTGCATGTCTGCATGTTTGTGGATTATGCTGTCTTGTCCAATTTTTAAATTTTTTTTTTACATTAAACTAGAGGAAGACTGACCAGTTATTTGTGAGTTTTAAAATCTATAAATTCATGCAGTGACCCTGGCAGTCAGGGTTTAAGACAGTCCTCTGTCCCAGAAAAGGGCATAAGCTAGCTCTCTCTTGTCACGCCCTTCACCCACCTGTAGTCCCTGAAAACCACTGCTCTCTTTCCACGACTCTGCCTTTGTCTTTTTGAGAAAGACAAAAAATTCTTCTTGGAACCACACAGTGTAACCTTGTAAGACTGGCTTCTTTCACTCAGCATGATCGACGCTTTTGAGATTCATCCAAGTTGTGGTATGTATCGACAGTTGGTCCCTTTTTATTGCTGAGCACCATTGCACTGTGGGGAGGTACCACCGTTTGTCTATGCATCTGTTGAAGGATTATGTAGCCTGGTCTGGTTTTTGACAAGTATGAATAAGGCTGCTACAGATAGTCATGTACAAGTTTTTATGTGAACTTAAGTTTTAATTTTTCTAGGGTAAATACCTCCAAATGGTATTGCTGGGTAATATGATAAATCATAACCTTTTGAGGAACTCTAGTTTGTCTTTCTCTTCAGTGTCTTTCACAGAGAAAAAAAAGTTTCAATTTGGATAAAGTTCAATTTCTCAACCTATTATCTTTTGGTGTTGTGTCTAAGAGTTTGTTGCCTAACATGGATCACAAAACTTTTCTTCTATGTTTCCTCTTTTTTAATAAAAATTTTTTTTAATGTTTATTTTTGAGAAAAAGAGAGACAGTGCAAGTGGGTAGGGACAGAGAGAGAGGGAGACACAGAATCTGAAGCAGGCTGTAGGCTCTGAGCTGTCAGCACAGAGCCCAACACAGGTCTGAAACTCATGAACCGTGAGATCATGACCTGAGCTGAAGTCGGACACTTAACCGATGGAGCCACACAGGTGCCCCTTTTCTGTGTTTTCTCTTAGAAGTTTTGTAGTGTTACCTTTGACTTTTTTATATCTGTGAATGCTTTTGAGTTAATTTATGTGTAACATCTTTTGCATATGGATTCCAGTTCCAGCACCATTTGTTGAAAATACTATCTTTTCTCTATTGAGCTGCCTTTGTACCTTGGTCAAAATCACTGGGCTGTATTTGTGTTCTCTCTTCCTGGACTCCTTGTATTGTCCATATGACTCATGTGTTTGTTCTGTTGCCTAAGCCACACTGTCTTGTTCCTATAGCTGTATGGGAGACTTTATCTGTTTTCAAAATTGTTTGGGTTGTTTTGGCTCATCTGTTTTGCCATGTAACTTTTAGAACCGGCTTGCCAATATCCACAAAAAACACGAGTATTTTTATTGGTATTGAGTAAGAGTTATAGATCAGTTTTGGGAAAGTTAACATCTTGACTATATTAAGTCTTTCCGTCCATGAACATGGTATTCCCCCTTTATATTAGATTGTCTTTGATTGCTTTCATCAGCATTTGTACTTTCCAGAATACAGATCCTGTACATGATTTGTTAGATTTATATCTAAATATTTCATTATAGATGGTATTTTTAAAAACATTTCAGTTTGTAATTGTTTACTGTCAATAGAGAAATAAAATGGAATTGTTATGTATTAACCTTAAATCATACAATATTATTAAACTCACGGTTTCATAAATTTTTGTAGGTTCCTTACAGTTTTCTATATAGGCAATTATACTTTCTGTGATAGGAGTAGCTTTGCTTTTTCCTTTCTTATCCTTTTTATATTTTAAAAAGCCTATTTTGTTCCCCATCTTAGAGTGAAAATATTCAGTCTGTTACCATTAAGTATGATGTGAGCTGTAGGGTTACTTATCAGATGGAGGAGATTCCTTCTCAGCTGGGCTGCTGAGAGGTTTTTGTTGGGATGGATATTGAATTTTAATAAAACTGTTTATGCATCAATTGATGTTATTATGTGAATTTTCTTGGTCAGACCATAGATCTGGTTAGATTAGTTTCATTGATTGGGGGGTTTTTTGGTATTGAACCAAACTTGTGGTTATTATTTTTAATATATGTCTTAATTTATTGTCATTAATATATTTAAAAATAGTTTTGTTAAGGATTTAAAGTGGTTTTTTTTTAAATTTTTAATGTTTTACTTATTTCTAGGAGAGAGAGAGAAAGAGAGAGAGAGTCAGCGTGAGCAGGAGAGGATCAGAGAGAGAGGGAATCACAGACTCTGAAACAGGCTCCAGGCTCTGAGCTGGCAGTCAGCACAGAGCCCGACGTGGGGCTCGAACCCACAAACCGCGAGATCATGACCTAAGCGAAAGTCAGATGCTTAACTGACTAAGCCACCCAGGCGCCCCAAGGATTTAAAGTGTTTTAATTTCTACATAAAATGTGAAATATAGTTTACATATTAGTATGCCCCGTGTACAAAAGCCAGTCTGAGTTCTCATACTGCCTTGACAAATTTTGCTGTATTTCCTGGAGAGCAGGGAGCTGTTCTCTAACCTTCTATCTTATTCGTTCACCTTTCTCTCACCCCCCATCCCACTTTCTTGCCAAGAACGTCTTTCATGTACAAGACCCAGAAAAGTTAGGGCAAGTTGTTTAAATTCCTTATGGGATAAGAGGTTAAAGGAGAGAGAGAGAGAGAGAGAGATCATTTTAGAATAAATGAATGTGAATTTAGACACTACGAACTCTTCTTCTCTACAGTATTTGGTTTGTAATGATGTGCTACTTGTAAATGATATGCACATTAATGACAGAATCTCTTTACTACCTGATTGGAAAATTACAATATGATTTTGCAAATGTCAAAGGGCTGGGATAGGGTCCATCACTGAGACTATACACTATCATTCCATCTTTCCAGAAAATTCTAACCATGATTCCCACCGAAGAAGAGAAGCAGAAAATCCAGGAAGCACAGTTGGCCAACCCCGATGTGCCATTGGGCAGCGCTGAGCAGTTCCTCCTCACTCTCTCCTCCATCAGTGAGCTCTCGGCTCGGCTTCACCTCTGGGCATTCAAAATGGATTATGAAACGACAGAAAAGGTATATATTAGGAAGGGAGGAAGCCAGTCTTCATCCCCAGTGTTGAGAAAGTCCATTTTTTATTTGTGAAGGCAGTGAACTATTGTTCTTGAGTGAGGGTGTGAAAGGCAAGTTGATCATGATGAGGTTGTGCCTACACTAAGCGACGGGCAGCTGGCCAGTGAGGCATCATTCTCCAATGTCTGCCTGTCACAAGCCTCAGACATTTGTCTGAGGGCATCAGATGACTGGTTAAAAAAAATTAAAAATGTTCCACCCCATATGTTCAGTGTAGAAAATTTAGAAAACATAGAAATGCACATATAGAAAGTGACCTATAATCCTTCCACCTGAGGATAATCACCTCAGCTGTCATTGACGGTGGCTATTAGCCCAGCATTGGTCACTTTGAGAGAGTATCTCTGTAGGAGGTTGACAGTGAAACACTGCAAAAGGTTGGGAGGAGAATAGAGAGAAAGAGACCTTAACAGTGAAGTCATGGGGAGGCTCATCTGAGCAGAAGTAGGAGGAGCAGGTGTCTTCTGGACCGGGGAAATCCACAGGCTGAGCAGAAGGAGCCAGTGGAGAGGAAAGAGCTGGAAGGTGAGCTGGAATGAGCTTAATGAGAGGAAGTGCCCAGAGGAGAGAGATTGAAAGCATGGGAGGAGAGGCTGTGTGGTCTCCATCCTCTGGCAAAGGAGGCAGCAAAGTCTTATGCTGAGGGCCAAATATGGACGGTGAGTATAGGGGCTTCACAAGGGAACCATGGTGTTTAAATTCATTCAGGAATCAAGCAGGGATGAAGAGACACAGGACTGCTGGGATGACTCAGGCTCAACACCAGAGTGGAAGTCTGAGAGAGTGGGAGTTCGGAAGGCAGTGGCAGTAATGAGGATGGTGGCCTTCTAGAAAGTAACCCAGGCTAAGTAGTGGCCAGCCATAGAGTTCTAAATGGGAGGTTAAGAGACCTGAGGGGTCTGGGGACAGTGAGGGACAGGTTCTGGTGTCATCTGCCTAGAAGGAGACAGGTGAGAGGAAGTCTGTGGTCCGGATGCTGAAGGAACATGCAAAGGAAGAGAGTCCTAGAAGTTAGCCATAGTCAGAAAAGAGAATGAGAGGGGAGTTTGGTGTAAGGGTCCTGCCTGAGCTTGGCAGATGGGCATGAACAGTGGAAGATGGAGCAATTGCCACCCCAGCACAAGTAGCCATGGGCACCCATTTGGTCTCCACCGGGGAGACTTTGGGGACTAGACCTCCCTGCTGCCTTCTGGCACTTCCGTACTTAAGACCATGTGCCCACCACATGGGATTGCCTTATACCCAGGAGTCCGCCACTGTGGTTGCTTTGTACTAAAGTTTAAAACACAAAAACAAAGCCAAAATGCACATTCTTTATCATCACCTTCCAACTTTTTTTAATTGAAAGGAAGTGGCAGAACCACTTTTGGATCTGAAGGAAGGAATAGACCAACTGGAGAACAATAAAACCTTGGGCTTTATCCTGTCTACTCTTTTAGCCATTGGGAACTTTCTAAATGGAACTAATGTAAGTCTTTTATATTCCTTATTCTCCTACTTCCCTTGTCACAAAGTTCCTGCCCTTCGTTTGCTGAGGGAGGTTGTACTTCTGTCCTCCAAAGCACTGATGAACGGCTTAACTTTTGTATTACTAGAAAATCTAGAAGGAATTGTGTCCTTAACTCATCAGGGCCTATTTATTTGAGCCTGCATCTGGCTATACAAATAAGAAAACTTAGAAGGATTAGTACACTGTTTCTTACGAAGCTTGGCTATTCACAAAACTGACATTGCAGAGAGTTTCTTCCACTCCCCTCCCCCAGTACCCCCCTGAACTTATTGCTCAAATATTTGTACTTATACACATTATAAACCAACTTAAAGAAAATGGTCTGTCTTTGGTCAGGAAGTAGAACAGTAGAGGGCACAGAGAGAAAGAAGTTGAGATACCCAGATGGCAGAGACCCAGCCTCACCGCACCCTGATTTAGGGGTAGAGGCCTGGGATGGCTCATGTCTGGAAAGGGCTGGAGCCTCATTTCATGCTCAGTGTGGCTGGTCCACGTGTGATCAGCTAAGGATGATGGAGCATGTGGCCTGAGAAGCCCCAGTTACAGAGGAACGAAATATTAGACTACTCCAACAGGACATTGATTCTAACCATTTGTGCCCTTCTAAGAGCCTGTGTAAAACTTGCACTCCTTGTCTTTTATTTAATGTTCTCCACACAGGCCAAAGCGTTTGAGTTAAGCTACCTCGAGAAGGTTCCAGAAGTTAAGGACACCGTGCACAAGCAGTCGCTTCTCCACCACGTGTGCACCATGGTGGTGGAAAACTTCCCAGACAGCTCAGATCTATACTCGGAGATCGGGGCCGTCACCAGGTCAGCCAAGGTATGTCTGTGGGCACAGAGGAGTGGGCCGTGTCGCTCCCTCAGATGCCGATCTCTGTCAGTCATCTTTGAGGAGCACAGGCTCTGTGATGTAAAAACATCCAAGTGCTGCCTGCAACCCTGGCCCTAAAGTTTGTGGATATGACAGGTCTCATGCTTTTGGTAATGGACTGGTAAGATCCTTTTCCCATCTCTGGTTCTCCATGAGATTCTTTCCTTCTGAGGTATGTGAGGCAACCCAGGCCTGGATTCTCCCAAGCGTTAAAACCTCCCACTTGCTCAAAATTTCCCAGCTAGGGTAACAATGTCAAGAAGATGCAATTTGTCTCCTGCTAAGACTTCCATGGGACCCTGCTGTGAAGCATGGGGTCAGAAAAGAGGGCACGCCTGACCTCCTGCTCCCCCACAGGTTGGCTATTCCTGTGATCTTTCACAGAGGGAATGGCTTAATAGGGCTGTAAACAGTATAGAGCAGTGGCTCCTCAGCTGCAGACTCTCAAATTGAGTGCAGAGCTAAAACTCCTCACGAACTTGGGTTTATTAGAAGAAAGACAGTCTCAGTAGCTGGACACACAGTTGTCCCCATTTGTAGGAAGATCACTGAGGTTGACCAACCCCAGAGGAATCCCAAACACAGCAGAGATGGGAGGTGTGAGGGTCTTGGGAGCAACAGGAAACTCATGGGAGGGGTCATGGGGAGGGACTGAATAGGACAGCAAGAGTCAGGCCAGTGTGGAGGAAACTTCTAGAAACCCAACCTGGGCAGGCTGAGTTAGTGAAAGCAGACAGCCATTAGCTCTGGGACACACTGGACTCTGGTATGAGAAGAGGAGAGTGGTGGGCAGAGGGACACAATGGGGAAGGGGCCTTGTTGAGGTCTCCTTCACGGAACTCCCGCTCCCTGCCTTCTCCCACAGAACTGGCTTGTGGGGCCCCGGGGGCTGGGATCCTCCTTCACTTGCCTCGGAACAACAGGCTGGCAGCTGCCAGGGACAGCGAGCAGCGGGTCCTGGGCCGGCCTGACAGTGGACCTGCCTTGAGGTAGAAGGAGGCATGGCCGGCGACCCCCCAGCTTCAAAAGCTGACCACAGGCTTCTAAGAACACAGACTCCTTTACTTCACTGCGTTTACTCTGCACCAGGCACCGCGCTGAAGTGTTTACAAATATTGCTTCAGTATCGTGACCGAGACCAAAGCCCCTCTGAGTGTCCCAGCAGGGGGTCCTCCAGCCACTGCTCTGATACCCACCATGAGCACCTTCTCAGAAGGCAGTTTGTTAGGAATAGCTCCATCTGAGGCAGAGCCTGCTGCATACTAGGGTCATCTTGGCCTTGTTACCAGAGCCACACAGAACAGATCGGTTCCCTTTTTATAGGTGGTCCTTTGCTCTTTCCCAGGGTCTTCTCCTGGTGGAGCCTGCTTCTAAATAAAGTAGCCCTGGCCTAGGAGTCCTGGTGGCAGGCTGACTCCAGTGACTGCCCCAGCCCCTCCTCAGTATCAAGCCTTCCCCAAAGGATGTTTAGTTATTAGTTAAATAAAAACTAAATAATTTTTTCTGTCCGAAGATTGGCTACACAAGCCAAAAGTGCAGGGAGATTTTACCTATTAACTTTGGCAGTTACTAAAGATGACGATTGACCCAGATCCTTGTGGCTTGCAAGAGGGCATTTACCGCTACTCCACCTTTACTCCCAAAGCCTTTTTGGGTGTTGAGAGGTCCTTCTGTGTAGACTGGTACAAAATGAGCCTCAAGAAACCTCAGCCCCAGTCACATCGACTCTGTCCCGTGGTGTCACATGTTGGGCTTCAGCATTACAACCCCCAAGGGGCAGGCTGCCCTGGCATCTGCTGGAGGACTGTGTCCCTGAGCTGTCCCACAGCATCCCCATCTGACTTGATAAGGTTTGACTTTGCTTCAGAGCACAGCTCATGGGTCTTCCTACACACACAAGTGGCCCATATGGGGCAGTCCTCAGGAGAGGCCTTCCTGGCAAGGACTTCCTTCTCAAAAGCAACAAGTCCAGCTCGCTCTGTATCTGAGGTGGAATTTTTTTTTTTTTTAATTTTTAAATGTTTGTTTATCTTAGAGACAGAGTGCAAGTGGGGGAGGGTCAGAGAGAGGGGCAGACACAGAATCTAAAGCAGGTCCAGGTTCCTAGCTATCAGCACAGAGCCCGCTGGAGGGCTCTAACTCATGAACCGTGAGATCATGACCTGAGCTAAAGTCGGACGCTTAACTGGCTGAGCCACCCAGGCACCCGTCTGAGGTAGAATTTTAAAGGCAGAAATCTAGGTGTAAGGCATGCTGGTTGAGAACTTGGACTCAAGAAACTCTGAGAGAAAGCTAGGGATATTCAGGTTCAGATCCACTGCTTAGAACTATATGGTCTCTCACAACTTCTCTGTGCGTCAATTTCTCCCTGCAAAGTGGAGCTAGTAGCAGAATCGGAGGTAACTGTGAAGACTCAGGTGGCATGTGCTGGCAGCCTTCAGCCAGGCAGGCAGGCAGCCAGATGAGGCAGCCTTCCAGCCCCCCTCAGAAGAAGCTGCGTTAAGCTCAACCCTAAAATGGCACTTCCTCTCAAGCCTCCCCACCTGGCTTCTGTTGGCAATAGACTCCTTTCTTCTGCCCCCGCCTTCAGGGCTCACAGTGGACTCTCTTCCCTGAAGAACCATTCTCTTAGGTGGCGTCTGCCTGGCTGCTCTGTGCCTGCCTCAGTGCCGGGCAAGTGTCACCTGGTTAGACTGCGCAGGGCTGCTCCGTGCAGGTCTGAGCTGAATTGAAGTCACTTCGTTATGTGTCTGAGACCTGACAGATGCAAATGAGGACAGATCCAGAGAATTATGGTTAGACCTATTGCAATTGGCTTAAAATCTGCTAGATATTACTTGGCAATCCCTGGTCACTCTTTTCCAGACTTATTCTTTGAACTATTTAGTCCTTTTCTAAATCCTTTTTTTCCTCTCTCAGCTGAACGCCTGATTTTTTTTTTCTCAGCTCCACTGTATCATCTATCTGGACCCAGAATTCCTTCAGTTTCAGGCAAATCATTTTTCTCAAAGTCCCATGAGCCCTCTGCTTACCTGCATCTCAGGACTCTGCCTAAGCTTGCCTTCTGTTTTTGGCTCTTGAGCACCCAAGAAACCCAGGACTTGCGATGTCTTGCCTGGCCCCCAGGGCATCTGGTGTGCTCAGCATGGCTTCATCCTGTCTGGTGAAAGATCCCTTCTTTGAATTGACCTTCCTTGACTTTATCTCCTCCATTGTCTTATGGAGGGCCGGACCACTCTGGCAAGTGCCCAGGGCACTCACAGCTCTTGACCTCCATCATCTAAGCAATGGTGGCTTACCTCCAGACATCAGCTTTCTCCTTCTGACCTTGATTTGCCCTGTGTTCATTCTGTTCCACCAACTCCCACTGTGTATCTACTTCTGTGCCCTCAGTCTCCTCCCTAAGTTTATCTGTTTCTGCCTCGCCTCCTAGTTTCTCCGCTTCTTTCCCCTGTCCTACATCTCTCTCCATTAAATGCCCTTAAGTGCATTTTCTTTCATGATTCTTTAATTCACATAATTTCTAGTCTAGAGATTCAGTAAAAGCATTACTTTAGAATGCCTGAGCTCAGGAAACCTCAGTTAAGCCAAGCTGTTCCCACTTCCCTGAAGAGCATAGTGGATGCTGTGTCACATTTGTTCTTTGCACACATGGCTTCCATCTGTCACCAAGACCTCTCCGTCTGTCTGTCTGTCTGTCTCTCTCTCTCTCTCTCACACACACACACACACACGTTTGTTGGGTTCTGCACATCCTCAGCATTTAGTCTGTACACCTGCTTATACAACGAGCCTCCTTGAGAGCAGCATCTTGGTCTCAGTCAATATTTGTCTCCGTGTTCTCAGTGCCTGGTATAGGAACTGACATACACAGCTTTCTCCTTGGGTGTGGGTTGAATGAATGAACGGGTGGATAAATAAAATTTGTCACACAGTGTACAAGAGACCAACTGTGAGGAGAAGCTGCTGCCCCTTAGCCAGCTCCCCCATATTAGAACCATCCATGTATGACTGGTGTGTTCCTATAACCCTAAGTGAAAAACCACCTCTGAAGAACAAGAGGGCTCTGAAAAATTTTATGAGACATCTGCTCAGTTCATCTTGTACCAGGGTTCCTTCATATCATGTTTTCATTTACAGTTCCCAAAGACTTGCCTAAGACTTCTTTCCAAATATGGAAGGGGGGGAGGAAGAATATTTGCATTGGGTTCATTTGGAGAACAGTTTTATCACTAAATAATTTGATGTCAAGATAATGACAAATACATATGTGGATACTTTTTAGGCCATAAATATGTTTGTATTTCAAGATGTAAATTTGGTTTTGATGTTGGTTTCTTCCCGGAGGCGGTTCACTTTCCTGGTTCAGGTCAGTGTCTGGTTGTTTCAGCGCGTTTGCAATGTTCTCTCTCTGATTTTCAGGTTGACTTTGATCAACTTCAGGATAATTTGTGTCAGATGGAGAGAAGATGCAAAGCTTCATGGGATCACCTCAAGGCAATTGCAAAACATGAAATGAAACCCGTTTTAAAACAACGGATGTCAGAGTTCCTAAAAGACTGTGCAGAGCGAATTATAATTTTAAAGATTGTCCATAGAAGAATAATTAACAGGTAAGTAGCTCAAGGAACTAATGGAAACACCTATAAAATGGCATGTTGAAAATATTCTAGAACCCAAGATCTGAAGGTTAAGGTTACAAAAATTGTAGTGTAAATCCTTGCTACGTAGAAAATACATGTTTGTTTCACGGGTATTTTCTTGCACACACACAATAATATAATGCCATTGAATTTTGAGGTTGGAGGGAATCTCAGAGATCATGTGATGCACAGAACCCATTTGAGCAGGAATTGCATCTATAAGATCTCTGACAAGTTGAGCCCTGTATCCCTGCGTCTGCTTGAACAGTTCCACGTCCCTACAGCACGTGCCCTCTCAAGGCAGCCTGACTTATTAGCTCTTTAGACAATGTGCGGCATGCCCTCTAAGACCTTCCACTTGTTGCTTCTCTGATGTCTGCCCTGCTGTCACCTGCCTGGGTGAGGCCTGGGGCCCACCACGGGTGCCACCCTCTGCACGCATCTTCCATAGAGTCACCGGAGCCAAGAGGAGCCCGGGAGACGTGCAGGGATGGGTCAGGCCTGTCTTGCCTACACGGAGGCTGGCCGGGGTCTAGGACTGCCCCATGGAGGTCCACGGCTGTCTCAGCTGTGAGCAGAGGCAGCATCAGGGTCGGAACCGGCGTCTTCTGACTTCCCGGGCCATGCATTTCTGACCACACACCGCCTTCTCTTTGCCGTATCACAGAGTATGGTCGTAGACTTCTCATCGGGGCCTTGAGGGTCCGAATGCTCTGTCCTGGGCCTACTGAGCCTGTAGACCTGTGGGCCGTGGCCTCCCTGCAGCAGGTGCTCTGGTGACAGACCTTCTGAAACAGCCCTCGGTGCGGTGCTGATGAGAGAGCCATCCCCTTGGAGGTAGCTCCACTGCAGGCCCTTCCCGCAGACCTGCCCCTTGGGCATGCTCCCAGGCCTCTCTGAGCGTGTCTTCATGACTTTTGTCAACAAATGGGCAGTATTTTCATTTATCTCTGTACATTTCCTATTTCCTATTTATTATTATTATTTTTTCTCTTTTCCCCTCTTTCATCGTCTTTTTTCCTTTCCTTTGAGCCCACCCAGAACATCAGGAACCTGATCGCTGTGTCTGTGTGTGAGCCCTTGCCAGGCTTGTGCCATTTGCTGCCTTGGGAATTGTCCCTCCTGGTCTTGGTCCAGGCTGGGGTAGGGCGAACAAGGTGGTGCTAGTCTTCAAATGTTAGACAAGGGGCGCCTGTGTGGCTTAGTCAGTAAAGCATCCGACTCTTGGTTTCGGGTCAGGTCATGATCACAGGGTACATGGGTTTGAGCCCTGAGTCGGGTTCTGTGCTGACAGTGCAGAGCCTGCTTGGGATTCTCTCCCTATCCCTCTCTCTGCCCCCCACCCCATCACTTGTGCGCACTTGCACGCACATCTTCTCTCTCAAAAATGAATAAATAAACTTAAAAAAATAAAAATAAGTGTTACACAGGACAAGAATAGGGAACAGAATCTTCCTCCAGGTTGACAACCATCCATTACTCAGTACTTTTGGAATTTAGTTGTAAATCCCTCTCCCTTCATCCACCTTGACCTCCTAGTGCCTTCTGGGGAGGAAGGCCTTATCGGAGATTTCATCAAATCTCTTAGTGAAATCAAAGTACACTGTGCTTTTAACTTAGTGCACAAGCAGAGGCAGGGACCATGAGCTGCTTTGGCCCTCTATGCTTTTGTGTGATATAAGCCATTTCCAACATAAAACTACTCAAATAAACAGTTTCCCCTTAGAAAGTCATGAAACTGGAGTAATTTTCTGAAAGTCTTGGAAAGCTGTTATGCCTGATCTCATTAGCCATTTTATCCTGGACAGGTGAAGACTGATTTTGGTGATTCCTTGAGCTAGTGTGTGTGTGTGTGTGTGTGTGTGTGTGTGTGTGTGTGTGTAAACTGTATATAGTTTGCCCTGATTGTCCTGTTCTCCCCGGTAATCTGGTCACCCAAATGATAGTTGCTCTTGCATGACCTAGATCCCTGATAACTCACTGTTGGCCATCCCATGGGGGATGATCAGCACAAGCTAGGAATCCACTGTAGTTATTGTGGGTGGTAAAAGGGCCATGGCTCTCTACTGACAGTGTGGAGCCTGGAGCCTGCTTCGGATTCTGTGTCTCCCTCTCTCTGCCCCTCCCCCACTTGCATTCTGGCTCTGTCTTTTTCTCAAGAAATAAATAACATTTAAAACAAAAGGGAGGGTGCCTGGGTGGCTCATTTGGTTAAGTGTCTGACTTTTGCTCAGGTCATGATCTTACAGTTCATGAGTTCGAGCCCTGCATCAGGCTTTGTACCGACAGCTCAGAGCCTGGAGTCTGCTCTGATTCTGTGTCTCCCTCTCTCGCTCTGCCCCTCCCCCACTTATACTCTGTCTCTCTCTCAAAAATAATAAATAAACATTACAAAATAAAGGGCCGTGGCTAAAGGGCAGGTCCGGGTAGTGGCCAAGCCAGAGCATCTAAGCCACAGAAGCCTGGGCTCGAATGAAGTTGTTAGCAGGAGCACCATATGTAGAACTGATTATAGCATGAATATCTTGTTGAAATGGCAATGGGGGACAGAAAACCCCAGTGGCTGTGCTTCCTCTTTCCCACCCTCCCTTCCAGCCTTCCCAGGAGCATAGCCTACAACCCCTGTGATCTAACATGTTCCCTTTACACTTTAGGAAACTGAGACCCAGAAAGGACTAGAACCCTAGGTGAGGTGGGTACAGGTGACTTATGGGCATGCAGATCAGTCTAAATAGAAGCCTTCAGATCAGAAAATTGGAAGTAGCTAGGCCTTCATCGTTTTTCCTCACCTGCACATATGTGAGAGTTATATTTTTATCTGTGTAATTAGGAATTCATTTAATAGGGCCCTTCTTTTTTTTTTTATTTTTTTTTAATGTTTTATTTATTTCTAGGAGAAAGAGAGAGAGAGACAGCATGAGCAGGGGAGGGTCAGAGAGAGAGGGAGTCACAGACTGAAACAGGCTCCAGGCTCTGAGCTGGCAGTCATCACAGAGCCCGACGCGGGGCCTGAACCCACGGACCGCGAGATCATGACCTAAGCGAAAGTCGGACGCTTAACCGACTAAGCCGCTCAGGCGCCCCAATAGGTCCCTTCTTAAAAGACAGAGTTGTGGCACAGATACTGCTCTGGGGCTTCCCGAGTATGAAGGTCACCCGTCTCCAGGGCATTAAGGCATCAAGCCAGGCATCTGTGGGGAGCAGACCTGCAGATCTATTCTCATGATGCTCAGGCACACAGAGGAAATAAGTCTTGCTCATTTCACCATTCAGCCCACCTCCTCAGTGACCCACTGCCTGGCTGGGTAGCAGTCTGCCAACCTGGCCAAAGGATAAGCAGCTAAACTGTTAGTCTCCTGAATGTTTGATCTTCAAGAGTTCACCTCCTTCTACCCCTCTTGAAGTGGACCTTCGTGGGGAAGCACAGTGATTTCTAGCGCTCCATGGTGAAGATGGGGATGGGTTCTCCTATGGAGCCTTCCGGAAACTCACTAGCCTCCCACGTGGACAGGCCAGCACCTCCTGCTGTGACTGACGGGCTGAAGGGACAAGTTGTCAGGCCTCCCCTCTACTCCACTTGTCTCCTCAGACCCTGCGGGCTCTCGGCTCGCACCCCTTGTGTCCCTAGGGTCCACTGTCCACCACACAGGATCCTTGAGGGCCAGTGAGTCTGGCCACACCCTCCTGCTTCCTTACCTCATGGGGCTGCCCTTCCCTCTCTGCCGGGGGGCTGCGTCTTGGCATTGAACCCTCTGTCTCACACCGGGGCCTCCTGGTGGGACAGAAGCTCGTCTTGCCCTCAGCACCCCTTAGCCTCTCAGCAGACCTCTCCCCACTCCAGGGCCTTCTTGGGGAGAGACGAGAACACACATGGGGCGTCCCACCTTCCCTGCTCCCTTCAGTCATGGAGCTAGGGAAGTGGGCGTTGCCACCCCTGTCTTGTCTCTCCCTCCCATAGTCCAGTGGGTCTCCGCTTTGTAACAGGGCAGAGGACAGAACTTAGACAATCCTTTTTCAGTAAATGCTTTCAAAACTGTTGCCTGGCTGAGAAAATCTTGTTCTGCATGGCTGAGTTTGTGCACTCCCCTTTCCCTTCGTGCCGCCCCTCCAGCAGCCTCGTCCCACTCTGCGGAGGTGCGAGCCCCTCACTCAGCTCCCATAGAACCGTTAGGCTGAGCTGTGCACGCTTTGGTGGGCGCTGGCATTTGGGGCCCAGATGCGAGTGCGGAGGAAGGCCTTGCTGGGCGGCACAGAGACAAGTGACACTCTCACTGGCATCCTGATACCCCAGAATCTACCCTTCCCCTTCCTGGGCCAGACCCAGTGGCCCAGCGTACTCAGTGGCACACTTGATGAAAAGGGTAGATGGTGGAACCAGTCAAAGATACTGATTGTCCCCTCAATTTTTCTTGCATATGCTTGCGTCTCTCAACACATCATGTATTACATATCCAGTATATAATGTCAGGTAGTGGTAAGAGCCAGGAAGAAAAATTAAGAGTATAATTGAGACAGGAAGTGACACGGTGCTGTTTTACAAAATACGTCAGGGAAGGCTTCTCTGAGGAGGTGATCTTTAGGCAGAGTCCTTTGGGATGGGAGAGAAGGAACAGCTAGGAGTGGACACTTTCCAGGGAGCCTGGGGTCCTGCCAGTGGAATGCCTCTCTGCCCCCCTCACAGGCCCTACAGGCCCTTAAGCCATCTCAGGGTCCCCCATATACCATACTCGGGGCCCGAGGCTTGTTCAAGGAATCTTGAGTTCCGTACGGCCGGGGTCATTGGTGATGAGACAGGAAGTGGAGCCAGTTATGTGGTACCTCGTGTGGATATGCCACATTTTGTTTGTTCCTTTGTTGATGGAAATTTGGGTCGTGTTTACTTTTTGGCTATTATGACTAACGTTGCTATGAACATTTCTGTAGAGGTTTTGTGTGGACATGTATTCTCATTTCTTTTGCGGATATACATAGGAGCAAAATTGCTAGGTCATGTGGTAACCCCATGTTTAACTTTTTAGGAATTGCCAGACTTTTCCATAGCAGCTGAGCCATTTCATGTTCCTGTCTGCTGCTGATTGAGGGCTCTAATTTCTCTGCATCCTCATCACCACTTGTTATTGTCTGTGTTTTTTATTATAGCCATCCCAGCGAGTGTGAAGAGGCATCTCCTTGTGGCTTTGATTGGCATTCCCCTAATGCTTAATGATGTTAAGCAACGTTTCATGCACTTAATAGCTATTTGTATATCTTTTTTTTGAAGAAACATCTATTCAAATCCTTTGTCTGTATTTCATTTGTCTTTTTAGCATTGGGTTGTAAGATTTCTTTATATGTTCTGGATACAAATCTCTTATCAAACATGATTTGAAAATATTTTCTGCACTCTGGGTTGTCTTTTCCCTCTCGATGCTGTCCTTTGAAACACAAAAGTGTTTAATTTGGGGGCACCTGGTGGCTCAGTCAGTAGGGGGTCTGACTCTTGATTCTGGCTCAGGTCATGATCCCGAAGTTTGGGGGATCAAGCATCAGGATCTGTGCTCACAACACAGAGCCTGCTTTGGATTCCTTTTCTCTCCCTCTCTGTGTGCCCCTCTCCCACTCATGCTCTCTCTCTTTCTCTTTCTCTCTCTCTCACTCTCTCTCAAAATAAACATTTTTAAGAAGTGTTTAGTTTTGATGAAGTCGAGTTTATCTGTTTTCCTTTGGTTGCTGATGGTTTCAGTGTCACACAGAAGAAAGAAATCATTGTCTAATCCAGAGTCATGAAAACTTAGTTTATTTTTCTCCAAGAGCTTTATAGTTGTAGCAAAATTTTCTGGTTTTAAACCTTTTTTCAGCCCCTTTAATTACAAGTTGTAGGTTTTATTTTATTATTTTTCACGTAAGTAATACACCAATCTCCCTCATTTGAAAACCAATTTAAACCCTATTCAGACAGGAAAAATTAGAATGATCAAAAGCAATTGTCCACAAATAGTGGTATCTTTTATATAGTACTGTTCAGTCTACATAAAAATGTTCCTCTGTCTTCACGTATTTTTCTCATTTCCTGATAACTAAAAATCATGTACATGTTTGCTTATTTAATTTCCTTTACAAACTTTTTAAGTCAATAAAATCCACGAATTTTTAATTTATTTTTAAAAATAATTTTATTAATATTTTTTTCTAATTTTTGAGAGAGACAGAGAGGGAGACAGAGACAGGGTGTGAGTTGGGGTAGGGCAGAGAGAAAGGGAGAATGCAAAGCAGGCTTCAGGCTCTGAGCTGTCAGCACAGAGCCTGATGCAGGGCTTGACCCCACACACCGTGAGATCATGACCTGGGCTGGAGTTGGACGTTTAACCAACGTGCCCTTACTAATTTTTAATTTAGAAGTTAAATCCTGAAATTTATTTTGGGGTGCTTGTTTGGTACTTCCTAATAAAATTAAGATTGTATATAATATCATGAGAAAATATTTCAGAATATTTCCTCACAAAAAACTTGATTGGAGTTTTTACAGGCCATCAGTTGACAACTCATGTGATCATGTGTGTTCCAGGAGTCATGAAAGCAGGTTCTCGAGGAATTGCGAAGCAACATTTCCTTATTCTTTATTCAGTTCGTACATAATCTGGAAACTGTGCGGTCTTTTCTTTCAAACAGTGCTTCCTCCTTTCTCTTGCAAAAGATTTGCATATACATTTTAGAAAAGCATTAAAACACTGATAAGCAAAAAGAGAACAGTAACTAATCTCCTAAAATCCTGCCACCTAGACATCCTCCTTCAGCAAGAAAGTGAGTTGAACTTGACTTTTGGTTGCACTTTTCACTCAAGAAGTCTCTTCGACCCCAACACCCGAGGAATGGAGCACGATGCCTGCCTGATTGGTTTCTTACTGACAGTTTTGAAACCATTGGTTTCTGTTCCTTAAACCTGAAGTCCTTACCTCATCGTGTTTTTTATCGCAGGTTCCATTCCTTTTTGCTCTTTATGGGTCACCCACCTTATGCGATTCGGGAAGTCAACATAAACAAGTTCTGCAGGATCCTTAGTGAATTTGCACTGGAGTATCGCACCACCAGGGAACGGGTTTTGCAGCAGAAACAGAAACGGGCCAACCACAGAGAGAGAAATAAGACCAGAGGGAAGATGATCACCGATGTAAGTTCCATGTCATTTACTGTGAAAGTAGATCAACCGTAAAATCTCCCCGCAGTTTGGGAGCTGTGCACTTTTTTTTTTTGACTCTGAAAAAAATTTCCATCTTTTAAAAAGTGCTGTTAAACTATTCCTCCACTATTCCTGTGAAAATCTGCTATATAATGTATGTGGGACTAATACATGTGAATTAAGGATGTGTGGCTGGGAGGGACTTTAACCCATATTGGGGTGTTGTGGGACTTGGTGTCATTAAAGGCGTGATTCCATTTTCAGCCTCTGGGGTGTGGGTAAAAGGAAGAAAACAAAACAGATAAATGGTAATGCCACTTATCATAGGAAGATGGGTATACTGATTTGGGAGTTGATTCAGGATTTTAATCATCACAACCGTGCTATATGACCAACCATTTGATGCATGGGCCACCCATTCTAGACCTCTGAATAGAGAAATAATTGATAAGGTTGCTAAGACATAATCTGAGGGCTTCCTGGAAGTCCTTTGAGTCAGAGGGTATTCAGGTGGGAAGAAATCTGAACAGCAGTGAATCCAACAAGGGGTTCCTTTGGTGGGGGGGGCCTCTGCACACTTACATGCTTCCCCCACTCCTGGCCTTCTCTCTCCCACCTCAGCCCTGAGCATCCCAAGTCCTGGGTGCCGTGGGCATTCAGATGGGAAACACTCTGTAAGTGGAGGGGAAAGGGATGCGTGAAGAAGCCAGAGACAAAGACATACCATGCAGATGCCTCTTTCTGATGTATCTTTATGAAATCGATTCCATCGTATATGGACTCGAGAAGCACACTGGCTCTGTGATACGAAGGGTAGAACGGGTAAAGGACCTTGTGACAGGGCATATCATCATCCCGGGGGTTGCATTTCTCACTGGAACTCCAGTCAGGCATATACTTTAGGGAGGAATAAAAGCAGTTAAGAAGACCTCAGGCTGCCTTCTGCACCCAGATAGGTGTGCGTGTTGTGGGAAAAGCAGAGTGCACACAATTCCTGCCCATATTCTTGAGGGATCTGACATTTATGTGGAGACCAAATCCTTCATCTTAGAAATTTGGTGTCATCTTATGGCAGCTCTGTGGACAACCAGGGACTAATCCACTCACTCAGATTCCTTGTTCCCTTGGAATTTTCCTGACCCTTAGACAGTGCTCAGATCACTTGTCTGTGGAGGGGGCCCTTTGTATGGTCCCCGGGTAGTTCCAAATGCCAGTGCCGTCAATGGAGTTTTCCTTCTCCTCTCCTAAAACCCGGGTTCAATAGGATGTTTAGCCTCCCAGAGGACAGCTACAGGAAGCAAACTGAATCCATTTGGGCAAACTGTGGCCCACTTTGCATTCCAAGGTGTTATTTTTAAAAGTTTAGAAGGGGCTTACTTGCTTTTGTGGAAATGAGACACATTGGAGGGTGAAAAATACAAGCTCAATATGCTTATAGTTATGAAAACACACGATAATTTCTTGCCAAATTTTTGAGATTTTTTTTTACAGATCCCACTAATTTTTAAATTCTGTCCTTTTCTGAAAACATTTAGCTTGCCTATTTATAGAAAGGGGTAAATGTTTCTGGAGTTTGATTCAAAAATATTTAAATTCCCATTAAAATGTGGGTTGTACAGGATTCAGGGTTCATCCTCAACACAGTCCCTGTTTTCAGCAGTCAAGTGGCGTCATTCACATAGAAAGACTGCCATCTGCTGGAAGATTATGATATTGTTACTTAAGGCAAAGTGTATAGCTTCCTTTCCCATCTCTCAGTTATGTGCCCAGCACTGCATTGGCCACTAAGGAAGATGTGACTGCAATAAAAGACAAGCCTATACCCCAAGGATATCTTCATGATCTGCTTAGAAAACAACATATACACAACTTACACCACTAAAAACATAGCCAGGCAATAGATTGAGCCCCTGAACATTAGGGCTGTAAATGATTTTTAGAGAAAACTGTGTAGTAAATCATTTTTAATAAAGATTCTGGGGAAATTAAGGTGGAAGTGATAGCAGTTAAGCAGAGATGATTTGGTAAAAAAGCTTTTTTTTAATGTTTATTTATTTTGAGAGAGAGAGAGAGAGAGAGAGAGAGAGAGAACAAATGAACATGTGTGGGGCAGAGAGAGAGGGGGAGAGAGAATCCCAAGCAGACTCCAAACTGTCAGCACAGAGCTCAACAAAGGGCTCAATCCCATGAACCATGAGATCATGACCTGAGCCAAAATCAAGAGTCAGACACTTAGTCAACTAAGCCACATAGGTGCCCTGGAAAGCAATTATTTTCTAAGACAGAGTGAAGTTTGGGTAAAATCTGAAGACCCTATGTTTAGAATCAGTCCTGTATCGGCCCTTGTGTGGCCTGTCCCTCTTCTTCTTTCTCTGTTTCTAAAATGCAAAAGGCATCCTTTCTCAAAATCCAGGAGTCCTCCCAGGTAAAGGTCAGTATTAAGTAATTCCTCATCCTTGTGCCCTGAAGTAGTTCCAGACAAAATGGTGACCTAGACGAGGCAGCACAGACAGCGGTGGCCCTACTGTCATCATACTCAAGATGGGCTGCAAGAACTCAGGCTATCAGTCCCATGGCCTCCACATCCGGGGACAGTGAGGAGGTCTCCTGACCTTGAAAATGAACCAGCCAGTCTTTTTGTTTGTTTGTTTGTTTGTTTGTTTGTTTAGCAACAAAATGGGTTTGTTTGGGAATGGCAGAGGAATTGCAATTTGGGACATGTAGGCTATGACAAAACCATAGGGCAAGTCCAGAGGCCAAAGGAAAGGAACATTACTTTATAGACAAAAGAGGAAATTGGGAGAGGCTACTTCCAATGAGAAGTCCATTAGAAAAAAGTGAGAGTTTGGGCGGTGGTGGTTTCTCACTGGCTGTGTTGTGGCGGTCTCTCATTGGCTGGGCTGTTGCCAGGCAAGGAGAAAAATCTTCATCTCTCTTGCTGGGGTACTAAGATAGCCTTCTTCCTGTTGGTGGCTGCAATTGATGACAGCATTAAGGCATGAGAGCTCCCCCTTCTGGCTTCCAGACTGTTTTAAACGTTTTGTTCAGTTTCTCAGGCATTTAACTTCCATTAACCCTAGCTTCCTCTTCTATAAAAAGGGAAAGCTACTTACTTTGGGGGATGTTGAGAAGACTTGAAATTTTGTATAGGTAACACCTTACACATGTGCTAATGGTAACAAAATGCCAATCATCCCGGTTAAATAAATAAGCTTTAAGGTAGAAATAAAAACAGAGCAGGATCTTACCTCTGAGTGTGGTGCTATTTGCCTGGGGGTGGTGTGGAGCATGGTGAACCAGAAGCATTTTGTCATTTCAGCTCCTGAAAGTGTCTGTTCTCAAAACTCTTGTGTCTGATCTGTATGCCTGGCCTTGTAACCTCAGTGGAAACACAGGTTAAATTGAGGGTGTGTTTAATCTAAAGTCAAGAGATAGGCATAACTTTCACCCTCAGTTTATCTTTTTTTTTAATTTAAATTTTATTTTTGAGAGAGACAGACAGTGTGACAGGGGGAGGGCTAGAGAAAGAGAGGGAGAAACAGAATTTGAAGCAGGTGCCAGGCTCTGAGCTGTCAGCACAGAGCCTGTCATGGGGCTCAGACTCATGAACTGCAAGATCATGACCTGAGCCGAAGTCAGCACTTAACTGACTGCGCTATCCAGGCACCTCTGCCCTCAATTGATTGTTAGAAAAGAGATTTTTTATTTAAAAGTTACTTAAAGAAGTTTATTTGGTGATAATTAAGTTTGGCATGTAGGCTCAGAAAGCCTCCATGAGGGGCAGGTAAGAGTTTTAGAAGAGCTGAGTTTTGTGTTTCTGAGGAGAGGGTAATAGGACCCATTCTGCTTGGGCAGTTCTGCCTGTTCCACCCTCTCCGTGTGTGGAAGGATCTGGCAGCCTAGGCGGGGAGGGCTCCAGTGCTCAGGATGAGAGGGAGGACAGTAGGTGACACACAGCACCAGGCAGATGGAGGCTGGTCCACTTGCAGAGGCCCTGAGGCCCGGCCGATTGTGGTGGGTACCACAGGACGTGGCTAGCTGAAGAGCAGGCCACAAGGCTGGGAGCCAGCTCTGCAGCTGCCCGGAAACCAGGCCCTCAGCCCTTGGGCGGCCTCAGGAGGTTGGTCTGGAGCCCCACCGATTCCTCCTGACTTTGGTCGGAACTGGCCTTGGGGCTCACAGAGGGAATGTCTGGATGAGGGCAGGAGGGCTGTGCAGTCAGGGCCTGGCAGCTCCCAAGTCAGTAGGGGGCACCCCGGTGGCCAGTTTCTTTATTTGGACTCTGGAGGGACATTGAGATGCTCTCCTCTTTGTTGACTTCTGTACCATCTAAGAATCCCTTCTGTCTTTTCCGTCCTGTCCTGTCCTCTTGGGCAGACTGATGAAGAGGATGAAGCGGAGGTAGGACTGTTTATAAACATAAAGAACGCTACGTTTGACCTCCCCAGGCGTGCTATAGAGTCTAACTTAGCATAAGTGGCATGAGGCATCCGCACCATTCGATGCTCTAAACCGTGCATGGTTGTTTTCTGGTTGCTGTCCGTGTGATCACTAACCTCCTGACGTGGGTTCCCATCATGCTGTGTGTGCCAGGAATCAAGGGTTAACTGCACTTTCCAAGCCGTCCCTAAGTCCCAGGTCCTGTCAGGAATGGCAAGTTCTAATATTGGAAGTACTCTCCAATATTGGAGAAGAGGACAGGGCATTTTCCCTCCAGCTCCCTGTCTGGGCCTTTTGGCAACTCAAATAGGAGAACTGGATTCTAGAATAACCATAGAAAGAGCCTTAAAACCAAAGAGGAAGTGGGATAGTGGGGACAGAAGCGGTCCCCTCTCATGGGCAGCCTTTGGCTTGTGCCCATTTTCTCTACTGGAATCCATCATCGGGTTCGTTGGGATTCATGTGTGCAGGGGTGGGGTGACAGGGGTTCCTCATCCTGGGTCGGGTGCAGATGACAGAACCAGAGACCAAGTGAGGCCTATGGGCCCCAGGAGATGGGGAGGGAGCAGTGCAGATGGCACAGGCAGATGTGTCCTGGGCTCTGTTGCCATGGCCGAGATGCTCGATGAAAAGAGGAAGCCAGGAAAAAAAAAAAAAAAAAAAAGGGGGCGCCCTGGTGGCTTAGTCGGTTAAGCGTCTGACTTTCGCTTAGGTCATGATCTCACGGTTCGTGGGTCCGAGCCCCGCGTCGGGCTCTGTGCTGACTGCCAGCTCAGAGCCTGGAGCCTGTTTCAGAGTCTGTGACTCCCTCTCTCACTGACCCTCCCCTGCTCACGGTGTCTCTCTCTCTCTCCTAGAAATAAATAAAATATTAAGAAAAAAAAAAAGAAAAGAAAAAAGGAAGCCAGGAATCTGTAGAGCTGCCCTTTGCAAACATTACTCTGACTTTCTCTTTCTCACCCAGATGCTGGGCCTTGTGTACATAAGGCCCAGCGTTCTAGCATACCTCTTCTAAAACACAGAAATCCTGATTCTTTGCTCAGCTACCATCAGACAGTCTCACCACGTACATACACTGCATGTTCAAACAACGACACTTCTGACACAGCCAGAAGTAGCAAGCGTTCCCAAACTCAGTTTCAGCATGAATTTCTACGTCATGTTCTGGTCGGGCTCTGCAACTGATTCCCTTGGGGGCCTTTGGCAAGTCATTGAACCTTGGAGGGCTTCAGTTTCCTTCTCTGTAAAGGGAGATGGAACTAGATCTGGAAAGATTCTGCGACCAAATCCCACTTTTTCAGCCATCGTAAGTGATAGATATGAAAATTTTAACTGCTGTCTGGTGCTAATTTTTTTTTATTTTTTTATTTATTTCTAGGAGAGAGAGAGAGAGAGAGACAGCATGAGCAGGGAAGGGTCAGAGAGAGGGGGAGTCACAGACTGAAACAGGCTCCAGGCTCTGAGCTGGCAGTCAGCACAGAGCCCGACGCGGGGCTCGAACCCACGAACCGCGAGATCATGACCTAAGCGAAAGTCGGACGCTTAACCGACTAAGCCACCCAGGCGCCCCTGTCTGGTGCTAATTTTTAAAAAATCGTCTCAGTAATGTGATTAACTGGGCATATTTTAATTCTCATATCAGGGCTTTGGGGTTGGAAACATTTATTTTCTGAGTTCTTTCCAGGGTGGATGCCAGTCGTCCCTAGCAGCAGCCACTGAGGGCATCATCCGCAGTGAGCCGGGACGGCCTCTAAAGTGGAGGGATGGGCATGGTCCTTCTGGGACCAGGGTTTTTCTTTTTGATCAGAGAACTTCCAGTATACATGGATGTGTGTCATTGGCTCACTGACAGCCTCAGTGACTGCCCTAACGACTGTATCTGCAGAATGCACGGAAACCACAAAGATATAGGTTTTCCTCAACTAAACGTTTTGTAAGCTTGAGTTGGCTTTTGGGGGAGTTGCCTTGCACCCTAACGCCTCCTTTGGCCTTGTAGTCTGGCAAGTTCTCCGGCAGTTCTGCGGCGCCTCTGAGCCAGCCGCAGGGCCTGAGCTACGCGGAGGACGCCACCGAGCACGAGAACATGAAGGCCGTGCTGAAGACCTCGTCGCCCGCCGTGGAGGATGCCACCCCAGTGCTGGGCGTCCGCACGCGCAGCCGAGCAAGCCGAGGTAGCATCCGGGCCCGGGGGCGGCCGAGGGGGGACTTCCCCACATGACCACCGCGGGGACCCGGGGCCCAGCATGAAGGCACGGATGGCCGCACCCAGAGCGGCTCTGCCCAGGGCCTCCGACTCCCCGGGGCCTCTGCGCTGACGCGCACCCTTCCTTCCGCCCACCTTGGTGACCCACTGCGGTACTTCATCCCAGAAACCAAGCACACCTCCCAGAAGTGTGGCTGAATTCACACGTGGGGACTGTGATTAGGAATGAATCCTTAGGGGTTGAAGCAGGGGCAGTGAGCTACGGCCTCCGGCCAAATTGGGCCAGAGGCATATTTTGTAAATGAGGTTTGCACTAGAACACAGCCAAGTGTACCCCTTTGTGTGTTGTCTGTGGTGCCTGAATACGGCAGTGGCCCAGCTCAGTGCTGGTAGGAGAGACTGTGAGGACCATAGAGCCTAAGGTTTTCGTAAGCTGGCCCACGTAGAAAAAGTGTGCTGGCCCCTGGATTAAAGCACTATGCCGTTTGGGGGTGCCTGGGTGGCTCAGTCGGTTGGGCATCCGCCTTCGGCTCAGGTCATGATCTCAGGGCTCCTGGGTTCGAGCCCTGCTTCGGGCCCTGTGCTGACAGCTAGCTCAGAGCCTGGAGCCTGCTTCAGATTCTGTGTCTCCCTCTCTCTCTGACCCTCCCCTGCTCATGCTGTCTCTGTCTCTCAGAAATAAAACATTAAAAAAATTTTTTTTAAATAAATAAAGCACTATCCCTTTTTGCCTTTTCAAATCTTTAGAGGCAATGAAGAAATGAAAACTGAAGATGATAAAGACAGATAAGAGTTTCCAGATTTGTTTCATAACTTGGAAGGGATATTTTATTTTAATTACGAACTAAAGTGCATTTTTCATCTGAGAACGTTTACTGGTGTTCCCTGATCTAGTCTGATAGATAACCACCCGAGCCCCTCCTCACTTTCCTCCCTGCCTGCAAGACGTGGACCACGCATATCATGCTGTCGCTTCAGGCCCTGCGTGGTCCGGCAGCCTGTCTGCGCACTTGACACCACCCTTCTCAGCACCCGTGTCTCCCCAAGCCCCCCTCTGCTGTTCATGCCGTCCCCTTTTCCTCTGCCGGTCCTGCCCCTCTTCACCTCCAGAATCCACCTCCTCTGTCCTCCTCCCCAGCTCACTGGGCCACACCTTCCTCCCACGTGCTCCAGAGCCCCCAGGTCAGGCTGCCTAAAGACGACACACTTTATCCCTAAAGAGAATGGGCTCCTGGAGGACAGGCTTTCTCCTCTTGGTGTTTGCTTAGCACATATACTGCGAACGACTAGCTGAAAGCATATCATTATTGTCCAAGCTGGGGTGCCCTGGCATGTGACAGCAGTACCAGTAGTAATCATACTGGGTAAGAAATAGAACAGGCCACGGAAACTGGGCTGTGGGTTGGCTGCCACATCACAGAAACTCGGTAAAGAAATGAGTGCATGCAGTGCCCATCAGGCGTCCTCCCACGCTCTGGAGAACATTGGGACTCACGAGATGACAGATGGCAGCTAGAACGTGAAGTTGTGAGCTGGAGGAGGCCCTGAGAAGGCCCTTCAGTGACTTTTAATGGCTTTGTTGACTGAGCAGTATTTTTGGAATTTTGCTATTGTCAACTCTGTTAAATATATATAAAAAATAATGATAGTAACAAGAACTTTGACATAAAAGACAAAATACATGCAGTTTCCAGTTTTCTTTAGAAGAAAGTGGGTCACACGTTGCGTATGGTTTCTTGGAGCTTCTTGTCAACCCAAGGACCACAAGCTGCCTTCCAAAGAGGAGGCTTGACAGGGCTTCCAGGCAGGGCTCCAGGTCCCTAAGGCGTGTGTGGGACTCCCTAGTGGAGCTGCACTCAGGCTTGTTACGAAATTACCACATGTGTTTCTTACTTCATGTGAGTTCAGTATCACTCTAGCTCCTTTGTCTGTTTCTTCATGCTGGACTTTGGTCTTTACCCTTTTCGTGGGGTTTTTACTTTGATATGCAGCTAAGAATATGCCAGAAAAAGGGCTGCCTCCCTCCACCCTTGCCCCAGTGTTATCCTGAGACACAGACAGCAAAGTAGAAAAGTCATATCTTCTACAACCTTGATTCCCCCACTATACTTCACATACTTCATATATTATTCATCAAAGAATCAAAGATTGGGCCCTCTGGGATTTGGCTTTTCCAACCCCCCTGACTTCTTAGGTAGTCTTGGATGTGGAATTAGGAGAAAATAAATGAATATTCTGCTGTAGCAATGAAAGGGCTGCCTTATGGTGACCAGCAACAGAGAGAACCAGCTGTGAAGAACCACAGCCCTGACTACTCTCTTGGGTATGTTCTGATTGTCTGATTTTCTAAGGAGAGGTGTCTTTTTCTTAGCCAATGACATCTATAAAAGACCCTCGATTTTTCAGAAAAGCCAAGTAGTGACATGGAGAAAGAATGTATAAACAAGAAAGAATCTAAGAAGAGAGAAAAAAGTGTTGAATGTGAGATGGTCAAGAAAGTAGTATCATTAAATGCATAGCAGTAGAGACTGACATTCTCAGTGCTGCTTTTATGAAGCATGGAACAAGGAGAAGAATAAATAAAACAGCTTTGCAGTGTGGTGGGGTATGTGGAAGGGAATCATTTATACCCGTGATACTCAAAAAGGGCTAAGACATCACATCCCATGGATGAGTCTAGACTCTCTGGGACCAGCAGCTCTTGTACATTTTGTGTCCTGGCCTACAATGGCCACCAGGAAGGGGAACATTAAAGCCTGCATGGAGTTGACCGCAGACATCAGGGGTCTTGAGCCTTAGACCTTGGTGGGTGCAAGGGTAGCCGATGGAAGCCATCTGCGGAGATGGAGCCTAGTTTGTCTAATGGAACATAACAGACAGTGCTAATTTTAAAAGAGAAAGAGATGAGAAAGGTAGGCTGTCAGTTTCTCTGCACATTCAGGGACTTCTGCTTCCAGATGGCACATAGTACCGAGTGGCAGGACACCACTCCTGCTGAAACAACTAGAAAATTTGTTTTAATATAATGGCAAAAGCTTTCTCTCAAAAGATCTCAGCAAACTGTGAAGGGAAAGAGGACTGGACAAACTAGAATTGTAGATGAGCTGAGAGTGCCTCTCCAGGACCATTTGCCAAATCTGGGCATAGACCCGAGATGTGGGCCTATCTTGGGCAGGGAGACTCATTGTAGAGAGAAGTCAGCAGAATGTCTAATAGCCATGTGAGTCAGCATACGAGATGGGAAGTAGAGGGTCTCCAAACTCCAAGGCTGTTTTCTCCATGAGACATTTGCTAAGTGCTGGGGCAGCATGAGGAAGGGGAGGTTGGGTCAGAAAGGCTGGAGGAAATCTCCTGTAGGCTTCAAGGTCTGAGGAAACAAACAAAAAAAGCTTGAGTAAGCACCTTCAGCAAATACATACAGGTGTTTAAACACAGAGGTGGACTGATTCTTCATTAAAACTAGAGTCTGGTCCCAACGCCATTCAGTACGTCACCATGTCTGCTTAACAGAGAAGAGTGAAGGCTGGGGGAAATGACACCGATTCTGGTCTCTGCATCCTTCTGTACACAAAGTCCAGTGCACAATCCCAATTACAAGCCAAGAGAATAAGAAAATGTGCCCGACAAGGAAAAGGAGACACAAGCAGCAGATCCACAGGTGATCCAGATGTTGAAATTTGCAGCCGTAGTTGAACCGTTACAAATGTTAACACAAAGGAAATTCTAGACAAATTGACTACAAGGTGGATAGTTTCAGCAGGAAATTGGAATTTATTTTTAAAAATAAATGCACATTCAAGAACTGCAAAAGAAATGTCTGAAATAGGAGCTCATTGATTGGGTTTAACAGCAGACTCATCCCAGCAAAAGAAAGGATTAATGACTTCAAAGACGAGTTGTTAGAAAATGTACAAAGTGAAGTGTAGGAGAAAATGGAAAGAACAGAACAAAGTGTAAAAGGAATGAGGCACACCGTCAAATGGTCTAACCTCTGTATAATTGGAGTAGCAGAAGAAGATGGATAAGAAGCAATAATTGAAGAGGTAAAGGCTGAGAATTTCCCAGTGCTGATGATAGATAGCAGCCCCTATATTTAAGAAACGTAGCAAACCCAAGGAGAATAAATAAAAGGAAACTGTATCTCGTATAATGTAGGCAGACAGAAAAAAAAAAAAACAAACAAACAACCCACCAAGATAAAATCTTTTAAAAAGCCAGAGGGAAAAGATAGATTACCTTCTAAAGTACGACAGTCAGGATGATGGCTCACTGTTAACAGAAGCTATGGAAGTTAGAAGAAAGTGGAATGACATCTTCAAACTGCCAAAAAGAAAAGCTTTAAACCTAGAAGTCTATATCCGGGGAAGTTCTTTCAGAAACGAAGGCAATCTTGTATTACACTAAAATGTAATCTCTATTTTGATGCAATTATTTCTCTTTTAGACTATTTCTTTAGGTTAGATTCTTAAAGGAAAAAATAAATTACAGGGTTTTCTTTCAAACTACAGTCTACATTGTTTCTCTTTTACCTGAAGTATAGTTGATACACAATGTGACATTAGTTTCAGGTGTACAACATTGTGATCCAGCAAGTCTAAATTATTCACATATTTTTAAAAATCAAATCAAAGTGATTTGGTGCTATCATAGTCTATAATACTTCATTCCATCTACTTCATCTTAGTATATAAATATCTCATTAACTCTTGGGAGACTGTGGTGAGCCAGTGGCCCTTTGGGTCTGTAAGAGGTATGGGCAGTGTTTCCCTGATGGCTCTCTATGTGTGGGCGCAAGGGTTCCAGGAGAAAAAAACCACGCACACACAACCAACCTGTCATGACCAGGAAAAATGTATATAAACAGCTATCAGGAAGGAAAGTAACCAAGGAGGCGGGGGGGGGGGGGGGGGGGGGAAAAAAAANGGGGGGCTAAAAAACAGGACCAGGACTGAGGTCATGAAAGAATGACATCATCACAAAACTGAGTCTGGCACTCCTGAACATATGGCACCATGTTCCTTCGAAACATCTCCTGACACATTACAGTGAAAGCAGCTCTCTGGGGATGTAGAAGATGGGAAGCATAGGTAATTCCCAGTAGGAAGATCAGATGACACCTTCATTTTTTTTTGGCCCAGTCCTCCAGGAATGTATTATGAGCAAATGCAGTTGATTGAAATTTGTGTGTTTGGGGAAGGGTAGTTTGGCATTTTAAAATGAAACACAGAATTAGGAATCAGTAGGGAAGAGGGAAAACAGGAGCTGGCTGGGCAGAACACAGTTGCACCATTGACGGCTCCATCTGCTCTGAGGAGGACCGCCGTTTGGAAGCTCTGAAGGGTCCCAGTGTGACAGCTGTGTCCGCGGGAGTCCTGCCTCGAGTTAGACCACCTGGGCCATCCTGAGAATGCAGAAAAATTCAGCAATTTCCAAAGTTCTTTTCTGAGGGCAAACTATTTTTATTTATTTATTTATTTTTCAGGTTCATTTTATTTATTTATTTATTTTAGAAATAGTTTATTGTCAAGTTGGTTTCCATATAACACCCAGTGCTCATCCCCACAAGTGCCCTCCTCCAGAGGGCAACCTATTTTTAAAGGATCTTATGATGTTGAAAAAAATCTAGTCTGATGGGAGCAAGTGGATCAAGTGCCTTTGGGCATAAGCAGAGAAAGTACAATTTACTGTTTTCGTACGTGCCAGTGCTGTGGCTGCGCTCCCATTCGTGAAACAAATGTTTGAAATCACACCAGTGACAACGCAAACACTGTCACCGGAAAACATATGGGCCTGTGTAGCCATAGGTCTCCGATACGTGCTGGTGGTGTGGCCCCGGGATTCCGACTCCTTTTGCAAAGTGTGAATTATTTATGCACGCGCTTCAGCGATATGCATTTTACTGGCAGAAACTATAACCAAATGATAGCATATTACGTATTTACTGTAAAATTTTACCCACAAACATTTCCACAAAACTCCCAGTCTATTCAACTGTGACCAGCTATTCTCAGCTATTGCATTCAGAATCCAAACGCCCAAAGTTTTTAAAAAGTAGTATGGGAATAGAACTCAAGAATTTAAGATCTATGTTTGCTAACATTTTTTTTTTTTTTTTTTTGCCTGTGGTTTAAGAAACGCTGACGACTATTCAGCTTCAGCTGGACCTTAGGCTCTGAATGGTGTCCTGTAGGCATTGAGTCTGAGAACGCCCACCTACAGGCTTTTGAAGTTGTGTGTTTATTACAAAGGGCGGTGTATGTGGAGGAAACTCACAATTTTGAGCACATTGTGCATCTTTCTTCTTACAGAAGCACATTTCCCATCTTAGAGAAGAGATTTACAAGGAAGCTGATCTATCGCAAAGGCATAGTTCTTGCTATGCTAAAATAGCATTCATTTCTCTCTGTCAAACATCACTGGGGAATGCCTGTTTGCATGACGCTTTCTTCTTGCTCGTCTATAGGCAGATGCTTTTATGCCAGACTTAGACCTGCTCTGGTTTAATATATAGTTGTTTATAAATGTGTTTTCCTGGTCAAGGAGCAGGGTAAAATTTGTGTCAGCAACACACCTTTGTTAGTTGAAGAAGGTTATCCTGTTATGATTTTTTTTTTTATGTTTGTTTATTTTTGAGAGACAGAGTGCAAGCAGGGAACTGGCAGAGAGAGAGGGAGACACAGAATCTGGAACAGGCTCCAGGCTCTGAGCTGTCAGGACAGAGCCCGATGCAGGGCTCAAACTCACGGACGTCAAGATCATGACCTGAGCTAATGTCGGATGCTTAACTGACTGAGGCGCCCCTATCTTGTTATAATTTTTAAAGGTTAAGTAATCTAAAGATAGACTGCCACAAAATCCATTGATTTCTGTTTAACTAGAAGAGAAGTTAGGAGTAGTTGACATTTACTGGACTCATACAGCCATGGATAGAGAGCTGAGTTAACACATATCTTTAGACATTACTGGACGTACATCACTGAGCATCTGTGATGCACTCTGGGGTGTGGTATCTGCTCTCCCACCATCTCGGGGCCTGTCGGGTAGGTCTTCAGGAGCTGCTACAGGATAGTATCAGGTAAGTGCTCCCAGTGCTCTGAGGGGGAGTTCAGTGCCTGAGGGGGGTAGCAGTCACAGGTCACAGAGATGCCCCCGTGGTGGGGGGCTGGCGAGTGCCCGGGACCTGCTGCTGTGATCCATTGCTGACAGAGCTCCATGCCTGGAAGAGCAGTGTTGGCATTTTCTCTAGTGTGTTCCTTCTCTCTGAGTACATCTCACTCTGCGGCTGTGTAATTCTTTAGGATCTGCTAGTTCATGGACTCTGGGAACCGATGACTCCCCTAATGTCACAGATGACGCAGCTGATGAGATCATGGATCGCATCGTCAAGTCGGCCACCCAGGTGCCCAGTCAGCGAGTGGTGCCTCGGGAGAGGAAGCGCTCCCGGGCCAACCGGAAATCTCGTAAGTGCCTTGGAGCTGGGGTGAAGGACTTGCCCTGCAGGGACCTGCCCTCCTGTATGCCCTGGGAAGGGTTGTCGCTGTAGGCTGGCTCCAGCCAGTTGTTGGGCGATGCCTGGAGGGTCTACCCAAACTTGTCATCAACAGAAGGTTTCCTCTTGGACAGTAAACGTTGCTGTTGTGGAGGGGGGCGGGGGAGGGGAGGCCTGCAGCCACACTGGTCCAGCGTATTTGCCACTTCTGGGCAAGCCTCTCTCAATTCTCAATTTGTCCCCAGGAGTGTCCAAAAGACCCTGAACTGTCTCTGGTGTGCAGAGGTGGGCATGGGGGGGCCATTGCCATGTTGTGCCCCGGATGCTCTGCTGAGGCCATATTTCTGCATCAGGGGCCACTTTCTTGCTGAAAATGGCTTCCTCTGGGGATTCACTCCTACTCCCAAACATGTCAAAGGTGAAAAACAATGGCTATATGGTGTTTAGGGTGTTTTAAATACTTAATGTTAACCTAGGCTGACCAGTTTGTTTTTGTTTCTTTTCATGCTAAATCAAAGGGACTGATTTCCCCCTTAATCCGAACCCACTGCCTACTCCTGGCCACAGAATGAAGGGGGTGGGGCTGCCTCCGCAGGCACCTTGCTGGCTCTCAAAGGGGCTGCTCCTGTAGAGAAACACAGTTCCTCTGCATTCTTGGACATGTGTGTGCATTAGCTATGACCCTTGCGTGTTTTAGGAGAGAGCTCAGCCCCCAAGATTGGGCCGGATGCTGGGTCACTCAGGAGACCTCCAGGAATAAGGGATGGTGACTAGGCCAGGGAGTTATGACCCTCACAAGAAAGGAAGCCTGGTTCTGTCTGCCTGTACTGGCTCCAAAAAGTGAAAGGAGAGTGACTCCAGGTAGGCCGAGTTCAGTAAGAATTCAGTGTTTGAAGCCACCTTTGAGATTCACATGGGAGGTGAGTGGGGTTTGAGCTGCAGAGTCCAAGGGAGAGGGCTGGAGAACGGATGCCAGGCAAGGGGGCGCCCTCACAGAGGTGAGCCTCGTTGGGCGCAAGACCTCAGAAAGGGATGTCACATGACCCGGTGGCCCGGCCAGTCCCCAGAGGCCCAGGGTCCCTGCTTCCCCACCTGGTTATATGTCTGTATTGGCAAAGAGCATAGGCCCTGCCCTCTGGCCTAGAGACACCCAGATTCTTAGAGAGACGCATAATGCACTGGGAAAAATAACACAGTCATAATTAATTTTCCTCTTCAATCTGGCCGGAGAGATATTTTGCCTGTTTTCGTGGCCGACATCAATTCATTTCCTGTGGTACCGTTTTCATTCCAATCTTATGCAAAACAGCCGTATACTCTTTTTATGTAGCCAAACACGTTTTATTCTGCAATGCAGTTACTACAACAAATACAAGACTGCATGTATGTAAGTGTTTGTCTGCAGCGGGTTTAACTTATTAGCAATGGCACCATCAACAGAAATTTAAGATGGGGGAAAGTTATTGTGATTTCTATTTTTTTTTTAAATGTTTTTTATTTATTTCTAGGAGAGAGAGAGAGACAGCATGAGCAGGGGAGGGTCGGAGAGAGAGGGAGTCACAGACTCTGAAACAGGCTCCAGGCTCTGGGCTGGCAGTCAGCACAGAGCCCGACGCGGGGCTCGAACCCACGAACCGCGAGATCATGACCTAAGCGAAAGTCGGACGCTTAACCGACTAAGCCACCCAGGCGCCCCTATTGTGATTTCTATTTAAGAGGGATGACAAACTCCAGCTTTCTTGCAAGAGGTTAAAGGAATAAGAAAAAACCTAGTTTGCAAAATCGATGTGAAGTTTCGTCGTGTGGGCCTCCCTCTCAAACAGCGCTGTATCTGATTTGATTGTTTAATGGTGGTGATGAGGCAAGTGGGTAATGAATAACCAGCGTATTTGTGCTATCACTCATTTGACTAATGGCTATAATAGTCCAGCTATTATAGGAAACCAAACAGAATCCACCCCATAACCTAGAAATTTATGACCTGCAAGCTGCTTGAGGATCCTCCAAGATAATTAAATGTCTGCTTTCGTGTTGGATGCTGGTGACTCGGACTGCACACGCCAAAAGTCCTGCTAAGGCTTGAAATATGCAGCCAGTTGGGGCACGGTGAGGGCATCGTAATCGATTCGCAGGTTCCTGTGGCTCCGTGCTGCATTTCCAGCCTGTGACAATCCAGGTCTCTTTAAGTAAACTGTTTTGATTTTCCAGTTGATTTCTAGCCTGTGATATGATTGATCCAGTGCACTTCATGTGCTGCCCCAGATTCTGGCCTAGGTTTTCCGATTGGCTGGTGGATCAGACCGAGGGAGAACATTCTGCGAGATTCTTGGTTTTTTTTCTTACTTTGGTTTCTCATTTCATCATATTGGGGCATCTATTTTGTCCCAGGGCTATTTGTTCTCTTAGGCCTCCTTGATGTTGGCTTTCCCTAGAAAATCCTGAAGCTGAATGGCATTTGCAATTTCCTTACCAGTATGGTTCTGTAGGGTGGGCCCTGGTGCATGGTAAGGAGGGGGCGCTGCTCCCCATGTTCTTTTCTCTTGGAAAAGAAGTTTCTGCCTGGCTGGCTGTCTGCATATAGCCACTATCCCAGACTATCACAGAACAGAACAGGGGTTAGGGACTCACAGTCTGTTTTCTTTTCCCAGGGAAGCTGGGTCTTGTCCTCGTTGAAAGAGGCTGGGTCTGGGTATCGTTTTCCTGTTGAGTTAGTTTCCTTTTAAGGTGGGGGTCTGGACTCTACCAGTGACACGACCATGAGTCTAGGCACAGGGCTGTATTTCTATAAAGATGTGATTACTTTGATATGATTCACAAATAACTGACCCATTTCTTAGCTTAAGATCTTAAGGCTGGTCACCCTTAGAAGAATAGTTTCTCAGTAGAAAGAGCCAGAAGTCCAGTTCCAAGGACTGCTGGGAAAGGAGCACAGAACTTTGATTTGTTCTGACCCCCATGCCCCCAACTGTGACTGCCTCCTCATTGTGTCTTAAAGCTTTGACATTTGTCTTAAAGAGCATGTAACATATCTCATGTTGATTTACTGTAACTAAAATCTTGCTTCTTTTATAGAATTTTGAGAGATGTACTCACACTATTTGCTAAATAGAATTTCTTGGAGGAAGAAAATGATCAAACCTGAAAAATTATTGAATTCTGTTTTAGGGAAAGCGAGAGACCTGCCTCACAAAATAATGGATTCAGCCCTGGATCTGATCAGTACTCAGCTTAGTTCAGTTGTCTCTAGGTCTTCAAAGTGGCACTTGAAAGTATCCAAGAATTCTCCCATTGAAGTCCCATTAAGAACAATTTCCCTGCATTTTGTTTAGTTTTTTCTCACTGACTATGAATCAATTTTATATTCTTTTAGAGGGCAAGCTAACAATGGCAATATAACAGAGGCTTTAGAACTAATGCTTTTGCGATACAGTAAAATAAGACGTTAGTGGAAAGGATAAAAATTTCTCAAACTTTTGTCTTTTCCACAACAGCCTCATTCCTATTTACTCAGTGCCCTATTATTCTTAGAGCTCATTACAAATGAACGGGTCTTCCTCTAAAGATAACTGAGGGTGCCCACCCATGATCCCAGGACGCAGGACAGGAAGATAAAGAGAGGAAGTCCAAGAGAGGACCAAGGCCGTGGGCCAGGCCAGAGGTCAGGACTCTGCTGCAGCAAGCTCAGACAGAAGCTTCAGGTCAAACAGGCAGGTACAGGAAGAGTTTGGAAATGTTTTGTTGCATTGGCTCTCCGGCCTTTTCACATTCAGACAAATCACCCTCCCAAACTGGGAACTAGCACACTGGGAGAGAAGAGTCTGGCTCTTGTGTCTTCCCCCAAGGCAGGGTGCCAGGCATCCATTTGGCTCAGAGTGGAGGTTCAAGAGGAGGGAGAATCAATGAAAAGAGGAATCCGGGAATCTGTTTTTCTTGCCTCCAAGAGCTGTTCTGAGAGCAGAGCAGAGGGTTCCTGTAAAGGGACTTTGGAAAATGCCAAGCACCTTCCCCACAAGAAGTCACTGTATGTCTTTGCCTTCGCTGCCCAGTTCAAATAGAATCAGGTTCCATGTTTGGAATGTACACATTCATACAACAGAGAAGGCGATGGGGTGCCTCCTAAATTACCTGGCCTCACTGAGCCTCGGTCTGCTGCTATCCACCGAAGCCGGTGGTGCTACCTCGCAGGATGTCCTGAGCATTAAGTGAGGTGCCCGTGACAGGTTCCCACCGCTGCCCTCCCCAGCTCTGTCACACTGCTGCCAAGGGACCCCAGCCAGCTGGGAATATGAAGCTGCCTGCAGGTGCCTGGGCTGCTGTGCTGAAGTCACAGGAGAGCCCGTGCACAGAAACCACACCTATCCAGCCGTCGCTCCACTCCCATCAGCCATATCACTCCCCATCCACCACTGCCCACCTCACTTGGCCAGCCAGGATTAGACCAGACCCACCATCACCTCCCTATTTACCCCCAGGGGCTCCATTTAATGGGTTTGTACCTGGGAACCGAAGGCTGGGTTGTCACCATGGTACTTGCCTGGCACATCTCTGATGGAGAGCCGCTGTGCTGGTCCTCATCTGGGAAGGGGTGGGGGGGCATTGTCCTGCCTAAGAAATAATGCTGAGAGCCCCAAAGTCTGTGAATCTTGAAGCCCCTTCCTTCTTGTCTGCAGAATTCCCCAAGTTCATGCCGGCTCTCCCACAAACAATGGAGAAAACTTGTTTTCTGACTCCATCCCTCACCCATAGCATACCTCATGGGAGGCAGGTCTTCTCTTACATCTGAACTGAATGCTTTCTGGTTGGGGCCTGTCTAGGAGCGACAAAGTTTACTGGGGGGTACTAGATGAAAATGTAGCCATGGACTAGGCAGAGGTAGGTCTATAGGGCCAAGACCATGTCCAGACCAGTGGCTACAGAAAGCACCTGCTGCCATAAGTATTTCCAAGAGCCATCTCCTCACGGGTGAACTTACTTCTGCGTTAAGTAGAACGTAGAGACTTCAACTCTGTTGTCACAAATGCCATCACTTCCTGAGGGCCTGCCTCTCCCTGTTTCTCAGTTAGGCGGCAGTGAATTAAATCAGGCCTGCAAACCTGCTGGCCTTTGGAATCTTCTGGGAAAGATTAAAATGCAACGTATGGGCCCCTCACTGAGACTCATGTTCAGTGCATCTGGGCTGAGTCTAAAGTTCAGTTTAAATCAATCAGGTTTGGGGACTTTTAATTTTTGTTATTGTTGTTCTGGGTTTGTTTGTTTATTTACTTATTTATTTAGAAAGAATTTTAGAAAAAGAAAAGTTGCCGAAAAGAGTACAGTTGCTTCCATCTTTCACCCAGCTTTCCCTAATGTTAACTGACACCTTGGACACCCTAGGACAATTTATTTGAACTAAGAAATTGACATTGGTGGATTTCACCAATATTTCCAATAATGTTCTCTTTCTGTTCCACAGCCTTACCTAGGCTGTCCCATTACATTGAGACATCATGTCCCCTCCGATGTGTGGGGGACATTCTAGGACCTTCACACTTTTTAAAAGTACTCGTCAGTTATTCCTTAGAATTCCTGTCAATTTGGGAGACCTCTGATTCTGATGGACAGTTTTATGTGGGAAAAAAAAAAAGATGGAGGATGGAAACAAGAAAAAGAACTCAGATGGTTAAATAATAGACATTGACAAAACAAAACAATCCACTGTTCTTAACACAACAGAGCTTAAAACAGTTGCCTGTATTGAAGTCCAAAGAGGCATGACTGAACCCGCCATTTTGGCTCCATTCAGCAGACGGGTCACTTAGGGAACAAGGAGTAAATACATAGCAGTAGGCTAGTTACTTCCAACCACAAGATACATACATGTAAGACCTCTTGAAGTTCTGATATTAGTCCCTATAGTCCTAAACACTCTGTTCTCAGTATACTTTGGTAGAAAATCTTTAGAAACCTGGGGGTTATAACAAAGCTAACTTACTTCCAAATTGGCATGACATACAAAAGACAGAAAAACCTATCTGTCGGTGATCTAAAGGTGAATGAATACAAACGGATTTCTGTCATATGGAAGGAAAACTCGGTGCATGTCCCATAAGATATGAAAAGTTCAGAGTGTGTCCTGCTGGCTTTGGCAGGATGGCGCTGCATCCAGGGTGGGGTACGTCTCCAGTGTCCGCGGCTCAAATCCTTCTGTACCACTTCCTGTGTGCTCCTGGGCCAAGGACTTGACCTCTCTTTGCCGTCTGCTCACTTGCTGGAAAAATAATAACCGGACACTTCCCGTAGGTTCCATAGATGGAATAATCCATGTTACCCCTCAGTAGATACAGGCTGCATCACTGTTATTCTCAGATTCAACTTGTTTTTGAAAAGAATCACCTGAGAGCCCTTTGTAGAATTAAAATCCCTTTCAGTTCTGGGGGTGAGAAGAGAAAAAGAGCTTATGGTTTTTCCCTGGGTCCCCAGACACCCCTGCACTGCATGTTGACAGCGGAGGTACTCCCGTGTCTGATCCCGCTGCTGTCACTGCTGCATCGTGAGAGCTGTCACAAGTGCCTGGGGCAAAGAGTGGCTGCTGGTGCCAGCGAAGTGACCCCTGCCATCTATGGAAGAGCTGCCAGGCAGACAGGGATAAACATTTCCACGGTCTGTTCTCTGTTAAGCGGCTGCGGGGAGGTGAGGCAGTCACATTTGACAGGCTGGGGAGCAGTTGCACTGCAGCCAGAGCGTTCAAGCGGGAAGCGGGGCTGGGGGTGTGTGTGCGGAGAGGGGCCCAGACGTGATCCTATCAGACATTCGTCAGCCTGCCCCCACCCCAGCACTTGAGAGATCCCCTATTTGCTAGAAGACTTGTTTCTATTGTACAGGTTCCGTAATCTGCCAGTGCCTTTGCTGGCCCCCTCATTTTCTTCTGTCCGCAGTCCTTTTTTGCCTTCCAGAAACTTTCTGAGAGTCAACACCCTATCCAGACAGGGTCTGCTGCCCTGAGCATTTAACCTCATACTATGCCCCTGTCAGCCCCCTGCCTCCATGACTGCGGTACTTGGCTCAGGGTAGAGGCTCAAATAACATTTGCGGGAAGGAAGGAGGGAGGGAGGGAGGAAGGACAGATGAACAGAAGGACGGATGGATGGATACCTGAAGAGGTCCTTTCTATGCGTAATTGGAATTGGAGCACAAAGCTGATTTCACCTGATTATCTTCATTTCAAACCTCTTTTCAGATGGTAATGTGAGTTAACTTTGACTTTTTAACAGAGGAAGGAGTCAGATTCTTAAGGTCTTTTAGGTGTTAATATGTTTACTATATTTATTATGAGGGAATTTATCTAAGTTGTCATGAAGTCCCACGGAAAGTAGGATTCCAGTAGTGGGACAGGTTTTTCTATGAATACCTTTGTAGGGACACATCTGACAAGAAAAGACACCTAGTCAACGGCTGTGGCTTTTCCCCACAGCAGAGAACACCTGAGACCAGGCAGAAGGGGCACAGGGGGGTCCCAAGGGGCCTGGCCCATCAAAACTGAGAGTTGGCTACCAGGCCCAGGGCGCACCTTGTGTGCAGTCAGGCAGTGAGGCCAAGGTAGCCTTTGTTCTAGTCAGCTTTCTTCTGTTCTCTGAGCTGGTCTCAGGCTTGTCCAATGCCCATATCAGTTAGGAGGTTACTGCACGCCCTATAAGGTGCCAAGGTCCTTATTCAAGTATTTACATGAACTGAACCGCACACCGCAGCTATAGGACTAAAGCAAATGTGTGACCACATGCTAAGGAAGCACCTTTAAATGCCCTCCTGTAAAATGCACGTCAGTCCGTGAAGACTTCTATCGTCATTTGGCCAGGCATGTATACCTAATGGCTCAAAGATTACAGTTCATAGACACATGTCCTTGCCACCTCCGTGGCTAATGAAATTTAAGATGCCCTGCTAGTGCAGCGTGGACTTCTTCAAGGCACAATTTTGTGTTTTGGAGGAGAGGTCTTAGCAGTCCTTGTCAAGAATGAGAAATATTTTATCTTATTTTCTGCCTTATTAAAATTATCTTTCTTTAACAAACACTTGAAGGAGTGTTTAAAGAACATAAAAGGTTATTGCAAACTTGTATTTTTATTGCTGCCCCATAGAACAAATTCCATTACTCAGTTAAATGCAATCTGCCTCCAGCCAAGGCTCTGGAGCCAAACATTTTGTCTGGACGAGTTAGACAGTCTGGAGCCCAAGGGGCCAAGGTTGGGGGGAGGGTGAGCCAGTGCAGGAGTGGCTGCGGAGGGATGGCTCCAGGGCCCAGGACTAGGCTTGGGAATACAGTAGTGTGGGGTGGCATGATTTGAGGGTAACTTTTGCCACAGACCTTTGTGTCTCTTGTCAAGTCCACGTTTAATGTCTCTGAGTCTTCTATCAGTATTTCAGTTCTTTAAGTGCTGAGCACACGGTAGGTTTTCTATAAAGTATTTGTCAATTGACTAATTGATGGGTTAGGTGTTGGCTCCTGTTCAAAGAACTGATTCCTGGGAGAGAAGAAACCATTTATTGATAGTTAGACCTTGTACGTTCTACCAGATCCTTTCAGATCCTTTGTCTGCAGGCTAAGTAGGCTTTGGCCTGGGGGGGATGGGAAGGCAATGAATGGATTGTGGGGTTTGCTGGCAGAAACATGAACTGTGATCCTATTGTCTGTGCTCCCTGGTCGCCGGGGGTGCAGGGAATTGGGCCTGGCACTGGAGGATGGGAAGACATGAAGACTGAGCTTTACTTTCTCCACATTCTGATGAAGGGCCTGCCCTGTTCATCTCAGGTCCTTTGGCTGATTTGGGATTGAGGTAGATCCATTTCCATAACACATCTCTTGTGAAAATAGAGCAAATACCCCAGACTCCGTATGACCTTTTGTAGAGAGCAGGCCAGATACAATTTATACATGAAGGGAAATGTAATTAGGCAAACTTTCAAATGAAAGGACTTGTCTTGGAAGGGCCAGCTGCCTCCCCATTCACCCTTATCCAGCCTTTATTTTGATGTCAAAATTGATCAACACTAAACTATGGGAAAACCCATCATGCCAAGCTAAACACAAGCCAGTTCGTAGTCAGATGTGAGCCTTCCTCCACCTGCCAGTTTTAAGCCCCAGAGAAGAGGGTCAGTGGTCCTTCCTGAGCCTTGTGTGTTTCACACAGAACATGTAACAAATCCAGCCAGGAGTCTGGCACTTTGCTCCTTGGCGTGCAGCCCACAGGAGTCACTGGTCATTGCCTCCAGAGGCCCTTTGAGGAGTTGACACTGAGGCCCACAGTGTGCTCGTGGAGACGCCCAGGCTGCCTGTTGCCCTTGCCCAGTTCTGCTCGCACCTTGCTCTGCAGGGCCCCGACGTCACGGCTCATCCTGTAGATCTGTGGGGTTGCCTTACCTAGTTCTTGCAGTCACTGGAACTTGCGTTTTCCTATGCTCTGTAATGACCGTTCCAGCTCTGATCCACTCCTTATGCTGGTCCACATGCCACCTGGACTTGACTATTGCACCTGTTTCTCAGAAACCTTGTAAGGGTGGAGCTCCCTTCTTTCCCTCTTACAGGGTCAGTGCCTCCACTTGGTCTTCAAGGCAGCCTCTTGCAGGCTGCATATTGTCCTGCCCTGGCAGACAGATGGCCAGGCGCTGCAGAAGCAGGGCGCAGCTGAGCATCTCTGAGCCCCTGACGACCCTGGGAATCCTTGGTGGTGGGGGGGAGGGGCGGGCGGCTGACCACGAGCTGGCTGCTAACGCCCCCCTGTCTTCTCATCCCTTTGTGACCTGCGGCTGCTGCTGAAGTGCGAAGGACCCTCAAGAGCGGCCTGACTCCAGAAGAAGCCCGAGCTCTGGGGCTGGTTGGCACCGCAGAGTTGCAGCTGTGACACCTGTGGGCACCCTAAGAAGCGTGTCTGAGACTGTGCCAACTCCTGCTGGACAGAACCCCCCAGCTGGGGGGCAGTGAAGAGATTGGACGTTAACATCCGAAGGTTCTGAAGGGGAGTGTCCACGTTGCTAGTGTCTGCGCACGCCCACTGGGCATGGATGGGGCACTCTCGGAGGCTCCCGCACACACTTCCTTCATTGTGTCAGCTGTGTTTCTCTGGTTCCCTCAACACCTGGTTTAGTAGTTTCAATGCGTGACACCTTTTCTGTGCAAGGAGCCTATCACTCCTCTCACGGTTACTGTGGTCCTATGAGGCAGTTTGATTAGGCTCACAGACTGGGTCTATCCACAACACCAAACTATCCAGATGTAAACTCCAACATTGTACACGAAAAGAAAGCACAGGTTGTTTACCGGTTGTGGATTTTAGATGTACTAAATGTTTATACAAATTCATAAATGTACACCATGTTTCAAATACTAAATAAATAGAGTTTAATGCCGTAACTGGACACTTTTCTTCTCTTGGGTGTAGAGCCTTACACAGCTCTGCAGGTTCACCTCCTTCTCAATCAGCTAAACCTTTTCTCAGGTTCATCAGAAGGACCCTGGCTTGGAATGGCCTCCAGGCCCTTTGGCTTTCTTGTTGTTTTTTGTGCCTGTTAGCAGAGTGAGAAGTGCCCAATAATGTGTTCTTTGTGACTCCTTATTAATTAGGTGTGGTGTTTGTGGCGGGACATGTTAGCAATGACCTCATAGAGATCACCTTATCCATGAGCTTCGCTTTGGCCCATCATCATGCTAAAGCAAAAATTAGGGTAGTATTTACAAACTGAACTATTCTGCCACTCTCTCGCTTCTTGTGTAAACATTCATTTTCTCAAAAAGTAAGTAACGCTCAAAAAAGGGAAATTAAAAGTTTTGTCTACAGAGTGCCTCGGAGGGACAAATGTAGTCCTTGGCAATCGGGTACGGGTCATTAGAAACTAAGGCGTCCAGTGGGACAGGCATCACTCACGAGGGGCGATGTGACTGCAGCGCATGTGGCCCAGCCTCCATAGGAACCCGTGTCACGCTCAGTGTTGCACGGTTCCCTGTGAAGAACGTCAGTCTCTGGAAAGAGGGAAAAGATAAACTGCTGCAGCAGGTATTTGGGGGCCGAAAGATCAAGCCATTAATTCCATCTTTGCATCACTTTTAAAACCTCTATGACTCTGTGTTCCTGAATCATAGGGTGTGTGTGATTTATAGATAAGATGAAGTTGTGTTGTCTGAAGAGCTAAAGATAAGCTATTCACCCACAGGCCTCTGTGACTGTGTCCTCCCTCTTCCGCACCCCCACTCTCCTGGGAGACAGGACGCTCCTTCACGCAGGTATCGGTCAGAGGCTAGGTGAGCAACGTGAGCACCCCAGGAAGGCCTCGAATCGGCCAAGAGTAGGTCTGTATGTTACAGACAATTGAGTTTAATCACCTTATTGAAAAGGATTCATGTTTTTGTATGTTTTCTATGTTTTGAAAAGTATTGATGTTTATTTTCTTATGGTTCTAAATAACGTGTAGTAATCTGATATGATTTTGTAGTTTGTCAGAGCATTTGCCTGTTACCTGAGCCCCGAATACAAAGACTATCAGTGCCACTGGGGACTGGGAAGTGCAGACAGAGGGAAGATACATTCTTGTTGCACCCTGTGGTGATCAGATACTTTGTGTCCTTCCTGGAGGCCTCGGCCTTCTGCTGCGCTATTGCTTTGGGAATAAAAGGTCACACTTAGAATGAGGTGACTGAATAAATCTGAAGGTAATTTTATTTTAGGGATTCTCAGAGGAACATTCTCAGAGGAAGCAGCCAAGGTTAACTAATTTCTTGGTGACAGCCAGGTAGGGAGAGAGACTCATTTTATTAAGAAGGTGGTTTAGTATTTTTTTAGTGAAATTGGAGGGTTATTCCTGTTGCTCATTTCCTCCCTCCTTGTTGCTCTTTACTCTGGCTGCCTCTGTTCGTATGTGCATGTGTTTACATTTTTTAATGTTTGTTTTTCTGTTTCTTCTTTTTTTTAATGTTTAGTTTTGAGTGAGAGGGAGACAGTGCGAGCTGGGGAGGGGCAGAGAGAGAGGGAGACACAGAATCTGAAGCAGGCTCTGAGCTGTTGGCACAGAGCCAACCCTACGTGGGGCTTGAACTCACGAACTGTGAGATCATGACCTGAGCCGAAGTTTGGCCCTTAACTGACTGAGCCCCCAGGCACCCCCATGTTTATTTTTATTTTTGAGAGAGAGGGAGACAGAGACAGAGAATGAGCAGGGGAGGGGCAGAGAGAAGGAGACATGGAATCCAGAGCCCAACATGGGTCTTGATCTCACGAACCAGGAGATTGTGACCTGAGATGAAGTTGAAGTCTCTACCTACTGAGCCACCCGGGTGCCCCTCTTATTAGTGTTTTTTAATTCAGGAGGTTAAGTTATCTGAAGGGCCTTTGAGAAGCAGTAAATGAATAGTACCTTATCCTTAGAAGATGCTTTGCTACTTTTGCTGGCCATTGCTATAGATATTATTGTGCACATTTCTTAATTTAGATTGAGATTACAGAATTGCCAGTAAAGAAAGGTGAACTCTTTTCTTTTAAAGATGCGTGGGGTTTGGTTTCTTTGGAATCTTAAGGTTTTTTTCTATTTTAAAAATAACTTAGGATTTTGGGTTGGAAGGGAGGATGTACAGGGCCCAGGAGAGTTGAAGACCCAGTTTTGTTTTCTTCCAAGTCCATCACTGAACACAATACAGGAAAGAATAGTAGGGATCAGAGTCAGGAAAGCTGGTTTCTGAGCTAAGCTGTGAGTGGCTGTCTCAGTGTCCACGTTCCCAAATCCACCATTTCTGTGCTCATGTCCCTGAGATAGCGTATCACCAAATATCACCACACTAGGCTAAATAATGGCCACCCAAAGAGAACAGGTCCTAATCACAGGAACCTATAAATGTTACAAGGAAGGGTCTTTGCAGAGGTGAATGAAGTGAGGATCCAGATATGGGATGATAATCCTGGTTTATCTAGGCATTCCCTAAATCTTATCACAAATGTCCTTAGAGAGGCAGAGGGAGGTTTTATATGCGTGGCAGAGGGGCAGGTATTCTGAAGACAGAGGCAGAGATTGGAGTGATGTGGCCACATGCCAAGGAATGCCAGCAGCCACCAGGAACTGGGAGGCCAGGAACAAATTCTCCACTTGAACCTCTGGAGAGAGCATGGTGCTGCGGACACCTTGGTTTTGGCCCAGTAAAACGAATGTTGAACTTTTGGCCTTTAGAACTGTAAAAGAATAAATTCCTTTTGTTTTAATACACCAAGTGTGTGGTGATTTGTTATGGTAGCTTTAGAAAATTTATACAACCTTCCATCCCAAATATGCACTGAGGGCCTATTATAGAGGTAACCCGGTGCCAGGAGCTGAGGATTCAGCTGGGGAAAGGAGAGTTGTGATCCCTCCCCTTAGGGCCATGAGAGGTAGTCATCAACTAAAATTAAAATTTACTTTAACCTTCAGCTATTTATACATTTTGCCAGAGAGGTAACTAAAAATAAAAAACATCCAATTGTCTCAGAGAAGGGATGAGATGTCTTCGCAAGTGCATTTAGGGTACATGATCTTGAAATGCCCCATCAATTCTGTCACAAAAGGTAGTTTATTTGGTAGAAAACATTCTGTTGCTAGGCATTTGACGGGCGATGGATGAACTTTCTGAATGATTTTTACAAGAGCTAAATATTGATGGCATCTCTGTGTGGGCATTCGTTATGTGTTTTTTTAAAAAAATATAATCCATGTAGCCATTCTGCATTTTCATTTTACATAGGAAGTGAGGATGAGAGATGCGGAATGACTTTCCTCCAGGGCAAAAGACAGGAAATGATATATGCTGCCTTGTAACTTTTTGCTAGTTCTGGTTTTGTTCTGTCAGACTTAAGGAAGCCTGGTGACCTCTGCTTCTGGCCCAAACATGCAGCACAGACTGAACCAGGGCTGGGGCGGGTGGGTGGAGGGCAGTCCGTCCCACCTTGACTGAAGTCCCAGACCCTGGCGGCCAGGTTTCGTTCAGGTGGTAGCAGCATCTAAACTCCTTTTGATAAAGGTTCATAATCCTGCACAAATTTCACATCAGTAATTAATTGATAATCCACTCACCTAGCTCCTGCCCATCCATCCACATACACCTAGTGTAAGTAGGAAAGGTCCAGGAGCTCAAAAGCATCATCTTTTGAGATTTTATGGTAGAATGATTCCCACTCTGATTGGTGAAAGGATACTGTGAGGGTTTCTTCAGATTGCTGATACCCAACCAAGTGAGGGCCAAGCCATTTATATTCTCTTAATGAGCGCTATTTAATTACTGCCTTTGAAAAGAATATTTCTTTAAGATGATCCACCTGAAGAAGTATCAGTTTATGATTTTGTAATTCAAACACCATTTTCAATTGTTGACTTAGTGGAAATCGTTCCTAACTACTGGATTAGCAACAGTGATTTGCTTCTAAAATATTTTGTAATTTAGAAGGAGAGCATTCCATGTACAGGACAATTAAATCGGCTGGATAATCAGAATGAGACACAGCACATCCTGACCATCACTGGGGAACGGCCGCGACCAGCCGTTCATCAGGATCGTGTAGGACCCGCGTGTGCTGGGCCCATTGCACCTCCGGGGCTCGGTGCGGCAGGCTCCTTGCCGGCGGCTGGTGGGGCAGGAAGGTTTGCACGTACAGTCGCCATGTCTGCAGAGACGCAGGTGCTCACTTCATCTCCCATTAGAGGGGCTGGACAGCTGGTGTCTATTTAACACATTTTCTTCTATTCATTTTGATATAATCTGGAAGTTACCTGATTTAGGTGGAAACAGGAAGAGATGGGTTTTGGTCATGAAGAGGACCTGCGCGGCATGTTACCGATCTCCAACATTAAATCAACCACAAGGTAAGCAGGGCACCTTCTATTACTGTTGGCTGTGGGGTTTCCTGTACTTTGAGAGGTTATGGCAAATATTTGGGACTATTCCGTTGACCCAGCTAAGCAGGGGCATTTTCTCTTGTGCTTTAGGAAAATAAAACAGCTCATTTTCCTTCAGAATCCCTGCCCCTTAATAGTATCTGCCTAAAAATTCTTTTAAACCTGCTCTGCTCTCTGAAGGGGTCCAGTGAGGGACAGTCAGATGCTTCAGAGCAGGGAAGTGGGCTAGGAAATGGAGACAGGCACCCTTTCCAAACAATAGTCGAATTGTGTACCCAGTGGGGTATACTTTTGCAAACCTCAACTTCCAAATAAGAATAAAGAATAAAAAACATGGTAACAATACAGGAAGAGCTGGGTGCTTGGGAAAGCTTTTATAGCTGCTTTATCTGGTCTCTTAAAAAAGTGTCCTGGATGATAATACTGATTCAGATAAGGTCATCTGTACTAGAACTCGGTACCTAGCAGCTCATGGTAGACCTGGACAATTCAATCAATG